TCTAATACTCTTGGCAAAACCTTCGAATCAAAGATTAATAGAACTGAAGAACAGCTGACAGCTATGGCTTACAACCTAAAGCTTTTGACCTTACAACCAGAGATTACAACTTAAGGTTACAACCAAATTTACAGCCATGGCTTACAAGTTAAAATCAAGAATACAACCAAAGTAACGACCAAGTCTTTATGTAGCTTACAACCAAAGTTTAAAACCAAATTGTACAACCAGAGCTTAAACTAAAGCTTGCAACTGCATCATAAAACTTTGATTAATTAAGCAATTAGAGCTTGTATCAGTAAAGCAGAATGACTTAAACTAATACTTTTCTTCCTTTAGACAATTATTTGTCATACAACTTTTCTTCTTTTAGACAGATATTTGTCATACATTTAGCAAACACCATTAACAGAAAATGACTCCCAACACTCCCTTAGAAAAGCATTAGAAATTGCTATTACTATATATCTCAAGAGATCTTTCTTGCCTCTATCACCCCCCCCCCACCTTCCCCATTCTCATTCAGTCCTAGAAACTTATAAAGAATATATCTTCATTTGGCACTATTCTGCCACTCCCTTTGGGAGCAAAAAATCTCATTTTATAGCGCAGTGAACACATAATGAGTCCATTTAATATCAATCTATCTCCTAAAATGTGTGAAATGTGCTTGTTCCAAAATAGTCTAGACAGAAAATTGTCTTTTCTGTAATGTCAGCCTTGGGGAAAACATTGTTGTTTATAAAGAGGAGACACTCCATTATATATTGCCATCACTCACCCTTAGAATCATTAAGCTGTTGCATGTTTTCATCTTTTTCTTTTTTATGCTCCTTCAGTGGAGAGTGTTGTTGTTGTTGTTGTTTCGAGCTTCCATTATATTTATTGTTTTTCATTTTAATAACACATTCATGAATTGATAGATATCTCTGATGCAATACTTTACATTTCATAGATTTAACTTTTGGTGGATTTTCATGTTGATAGGGTCAAGGCCATTGATGCTAAAAATAGATTTTACAAATTTTTTCAACATTGTATGACCATCATTATACAATGTATATCATGAATAAAGTATTGCAACAATGACAAGAGCTGTAATGCCAATAAGCATACAATAAAAATGGATGTTAGCTTGATCATACAATGATATTGCATTTGATGAACAAAAAGACTTAATGCATTTACAAGTATTACAATAATTTTTCCCATTTCTGTTAGATTTTTAGATCTTGGAACAGATAAGTTACTTTCAAATCTGTGTCATATGTTTGGGTTTTTATAGGAATATTCAAATGTTTGATTTATCTTTTCATGTTTGCTTAACTGTTAAGTTTTAAGAGATTTATTTGTACTCCAAAGCTTTTTGAAAAATGGCACATTTAATATGTGGAAGTCAAATAAACAAATCAGCAGTAAAAATTGAAGTCTTTTTTGTGTGCATAATTTGTTGATCAAAACTATAAGATGATGTATTTCATATGCTTGTCTGATTTTAGTTTGGTGTATGTTGTGTGGACTTTGAAATTTGGGAGATGTGTGTGGGGTTTGCATTTGTCTGATTGCACCCCATAATATCTTGTTACAAAATAATTTTGATCATCGTTTATACCAGTGCTTTAATTATTGGTACTTGAACTCCTCAGATTCTAGTTATGAGGAAGTCTGTTCCAGTGTTGCCTGGTCCTGGTGTTGCTTTAGCCCCGGTGTTGCCCAGTGCAAACAATTCAATCAGTGTTGCATTCGGTCCTGTCCTTTTTCTGGAACAGTATACATGTATCTGTGTTATATATGTTGATGTGAAAGCAGACATACAGGTGGAACCTTGCCAAATATGGAGTGGAAATTTGAGTGCACCATGCTGTCTGCATGCTATCATTAATTTATGATGTTGTTCTAGTGTGTACATCTTTATAAGGGTGTACAAGTAATAACTTTATTGATAATATTCAGCATATGTAATTATAAAATCCATTCTTGAAGTTTTTAAATATTTGAATGAGATATTTCTTTTTTGTGATAGTTGTCCTTTGCTGCTTGTATTATTTCATTAAGGCACTGTCATAAATGTAATTGAGAACAATATTACTTTATAAATTTGTTGTCAATGTTGCAGCCTATCTGAAGCTGTTTAAAATGATATCACAAATATATTGTGAAAGTTTTGCTATATCAGACAAAAGAAAGACTGTATCAGGAAATATAATCTTACAGTAAAAACATTGATTGCATCGGGAAATTACATTATCTCTGTGAAACATTTCCTCTAGTCAGCATAAATACTGAAATGTTTTTTTTTCGTTTACTTATTTACAAACTTGTCAATAAGTTGTCTTATGATTCTTGGCAGCCTGTTAGCCAATCTTTCTTTATTTCCATGTTGAAGTGGCTTAAAGAGCGAAGCCTTTGGTCGTAAAAATAAGAGGGACGCAAAATGGGAAATAAGCTTTTTATTAGATTTTGGTCAGAAAATTTGTTGCTTAATCAGATATGGGATGGTAAGAAATTTGACAATTGATGAATAGGATTGATTTTTGGCCGCAGGATGATTAGATAGAAAAGGTTATATGTGGACATGTCATTGATCAGTTAGGCCAATAAAGAAAATCTTCTGTTTCGGATATCCAGAGGCTTCAACAGTACTACTTTTTGGGGAGGCCAAAGATAGAATTCCGAAAGATGAATCATAGAATCTGTTGCTAAACTTTGCAGTTCCTTTTGGGTTTTTTATTACTACTTGTTTTCTTTACTTTCTTTAAGGAACTCCACTGACTTCTAAAAGCCTAAAAACATAAAATTTGAATTTCTTACGTAAATGAGCTGAGGTACTTCAAACAGAAAGATATGCAAAGATAGTGATTAAACATATCTAGAAATAATTTTGTGCCTTTCTAAGCCCGATTTGGGTGAAACGCTTTTCAATTTAGGATCATTTTTAACAATTTGAATAATAATTCTAGAAAAAAAATGGAGTGGACGTATGATCTGAAATTTTGCTCAAAGGTTATTGGTATAGACTAACATCAAATGAAACATTTATCTTGAAAAATTATTTCCAGTCCCGCCATGTCAAAAACCTTAGTGGAGTCCCTTTAATAATCCTTAACATGTGAAATTTCTTTAATGAACTTACTCTTTTTTGAAATTTGAACAGTCCATATGAGTGTAAGGGATTTCAGTATGAAATCTGCCAACAGTAAAAACATATGATTTGGCATACAGATTTTTTTTTCTGGAAATTTTTACATTCTTTTTATCATTTATCATTTGATAAATGAAACAAAAATAATACATTAGTTAAGAAAGTTAATTTGATACATTATGTTAACGTAAAGGTTTATGTATTTGACTGCTCCATGTGTCCTTGGTTTCTATCTTGTATCACCAATTTAACCATTTTTGTAAAAGTCTGACTGTCTTAATTCATATGTTACTGTTTGGGTTTCGTTTTTTTTTTTTTTTTTATATAAACTTGAAGGAGGAAAAAACACATTTAATATTACTATCAAGTATTATTCATCACATAAAAGTAATAAATCAAGATAATTGGATTATTTGATGTCACTGGTCCCTTTAGTCAGTGTCAATAAGCTTCTGTAGATATCTGTCTATGTTGATATAAATATAGGTCTCTGATCTAAATGTGTCTTCATTTTAATTCTCATAATGTGTGCTAAATGATTTATTGCTAAAACTTCTGTTTATAAAGCTATGTATTTGTTGATAAAGCAGTTAAGATTTTGGCAAAATATCAAAATTAAAAAAAATAATTTAAAATAATGGTCATGTACTTGTCTAATCTTACAATAATATAATTTTGATGTTTAACTTGTTAAAGCTTTTCATGCCATAGTTGTTTTTGACCATTAAAAAAACACAATGTTTTGTTTGTCCTTTGATAGAGAAATATTTGTATTATGGTGTTTTTGTCTTAAAAGAGAGGCACTTATGTTTTTATATTGTTTAAGTTCTTTTTGTCCTTTTTGGTTGTGTTTTTTCACCCTTTGGAACAGACACTAGAAATATGTTGCTTTTGTCCTTTGAAAGAGACACTCCAGAAAAATGTTGCTTTTGTCTTTTGAAAGAGACCCTATAGAAATATGTTGCTTTTGTCCTTTGTAAAAGACACCCATGAAATATGTTGTTTTTGTCCTTTGTAAGAGACACTCCAGAAATATGTTGTTTTTGTCCTTTGAAAGAGATACTCCAGCAATTAGTTGCTTTTGTCCTTTTAAAGAGACCCTATAGAAATATGTTGCTTTTGACCTTTGAAAGAGACATTCCAGCAATATGTTGCCTTTGTCCTTTGAAAGAGTCACTTCAGAAATATGTTGCTTTTGTCCTTTGAAAGAGTCACTCCAGTAATATGTTGCTTTTGTCCTTTGAAAGAGACACTTTTTTGTGCTTTGAAAGAGACACACCAGCAATATGTTGCTTTTGTCCTTAGAAAGATACACTCCAGAAATATGTTGCTTTTGTCCTTTGAAAGTGTCACTCCAGCAATATGTTGCTTTTGTGCTTTGAAAGAGACACACCAGCAATATTTTGAAAGAGACACTCCAGAAATATGTTTGTTTTTTGTGCTTTTAAAGAGACTCTCCAGGATTATGTTGCTTTTGTCCTTTGAAAGAGAGACTCCAGCAATATGTTGCTTTTGTCCTTTGAAAGAGAGACTCCAGCAATATGTTGCTTTTGACCTTTGAAAGAGACACTTGTTACTATTTCCTTCAATCTGTTTGAATAGATTCTGTTTATATTGAGTAATATTTTGTTAATGTTCTCTTTATAAAGTCTCTAACAATAGTTTGTCATTGCTTTTGGATGTAGTTTATCTTTAATCCTTTGAAATATCACTGAGTGATCCTATTATTGATACCAGGACTGGTGTTAAATGTGGGAACTGTTTCAGTTTTAATGATTGTGTGAACTTATTTTAAATCTGCTTAATAAAGATTGGACTCCTGCCGTTTATTGTAACTTCTTCTATGTATGTATTTCAGATATTTGTAAACAGCCCAGCGTGACAGGTAGATGTCGGGCAAGACATATGCGATGGTATTATAACAGTAACCGTAAAGAATGTCTCCAGTTTGTATATGGTGGCTGTAATGGAAATGACAACAGGTTTCGAACCCGCATTGACTGCGAGAGAAGATGTTTATCTGGCACTGAAGGTATGTCTTATGTGGAGAATGAAATCTAGTTGTTTAAAATAAATATAAAAAGAAACAACAAAAAACTAAGTCTGTGAGCCGATGAATTTACAGGGTCCTTAAAAAGGAGGTAATAAATATACTGGCTATCCTGTCCTTATTAAGCTTGTATTGTCCTTAACTTATAAATAAATGTTCATATTAATGCAATAAATTAGTCATGAAAATGGTCATTTATAAAAAGATAGCAATAGTTTCCTAATTTTTATCAAATATATTTATTATAAATTTTTGTTACTAAATGATCAATTTTATATTGAATTTTCTTTTGGTCAATTAAGAAACATACGCCCTGTCAAAGCTTAAACTAAAAAAAAAATCAGTAAATATATATAGCTAAGCCTTTATATAGGAAATCAGGTTTTAGATTTAACACACATTTCCAGACATTTCCGTGGACAGTAAAAACATTCTTCTTCCTTCAAAAAATTAATTTAGTTCAGAAAATTGTACTTTTATTTTTCTAATACATTTGTACCAGCGTGTTTCACAATTTATGTAACCTTGAACTATCGCACTAAAGTTGATTCATTATTTAACGCGGAGACCAGACAGTAAGTGTTTGTTAAGCTTCACTAGTGTCTCTTGACAGAGTTTTTTGTGGTGACATCTTTTTAATGGTGATATTTTGTACCACAATGCTCATTAGCAACCTACATATGAAGGTTACATAGTGCTTGTTTTTGGCCAAAAGTTAACTTGTTTTGTGGGAATCAAAGATATCAACAATTTGTACTTTTAGCAAGCTTCCAGAAAATCTTTTGTAGCACACAAACTAAGTGACTTAGAAATGACACAGTGTTTACATGACAAAATAATTGTCAAAATTCCGTTTTGACAAAATATGTAATAATATCTCTCTTTTATAATAAGTAATGAGCAATTCTTTTATAATAAGTAATGAGCACTTTGCAACTGACCAGACACCAGCTGTCAATCAAATTGATATACATGTATTTCTACTGGTAAGACTATAGCCAATCAGTGACTTGGATTAGAATAAAAGCACACCTCCATGTAGTGCCTTAGAGATTGAGATTCTGTAACCCCTGATGTTGTAACGCCGGCGGTTAGACAAAATCATCTTTCCTGTCTTAGTGGCATATGACACGAGTCGTAAAACAAAAAAAAACAACAACATAATATGATCTGAAGTTTCTCATTAATTGGATATGGCATTAGAATATCTAGAAAGTTATTTTTTATGTTATTTATAAGCTATTCTTTGTATATCAATTTTATATCATAACGCATCATTACATGCAAATTCCTAGTATCGTAACTCTTGGATTTTTCTATGAAGGCATGTTTTCAACCTGGGACAAAAAACGATAATAATATTGCTTAAAAACCACAACGAATATTGTCTGTATAGCAATATCATATTCCTAATATCTGTCTGTGTGTTTATCTTCTTACAAGTATATTTAACCTCTATAATTTTGTTAATCAATAAATTAATCATTCTAATGAATACAGTTACTAAAAAAAAAAGCCATTTTTATGATCAACGATGCTTTTTAAAAAAAAAAAAATATTTTTAACAAAAATGTCTTATATTTATTAAGTTAATAGAGGATATTCAAGTTTTTTCTATAAATACATGATTTATTTTTCATCGAGTGGTATGAAAATAAATATTTCATGAGTGGCGGTAGCCACGAGTGAAATATGGAAATTTTCATGCCACAAGATGAAAATAAATCATGTATTTATAGAAAAACCTTGAATTTTCTATTTATTATATACATTTTTCTCTTTTTTGACATTAAAATTTGAAATAATTTCCCTTAAATTTTGTGTACTGGCAGAATTTAAAAGAAAGTAGTCCGGCAAGACACCAGTGAAAATACGGAAAATATGTTTCACTGCAGTGAAAAATAAATTTTTACAGTGAAAATACGGAAAATGAAAATACGCATTTTATTTCATCAATATTTCATTTATAAGTATATAATAAAGTTGATTATCATCAGTGTTGTCCATAACTTTTTATGATTATTTTATGTGATTTTTTACCATTTAACAGTTCTTATTTATCCCCATAAACACATCGTAAAGCATATGCAATAGTACCCATTAAAATAATGATTGTCCAAGATTTTGTTTTTCTGCACCATGTGATTAAGGGGGCGGAGCAATAAGTCATTTAATGATTGGTGATTGGTCTCTTCAAACAAATGATTATAAAGATTCTTTTCTTTATCGATTGTTGCTACGTGCAAAATACTAAGTAGTCAGTAATAGGTTAGCCTAAAATTTGAACTTTATTCAATGTTTTTGGGTGTTATAATTTTTTTTTTTTTTTAAAAGTAGGTGTTTCAGTGGTATGTAGGCAGAGTGCACTTCACAAAAAGTAAAATGTTTACAGTACAAAGTTGTGACAATTGTATTTTCACTTGATTAAACACTTAACAAATCACAAGTCATAGTTAATTATTATCTCAAGTGGATGAGTAAAAAAATCAACAACTTGTACAGTTTAATCGCTTTTTACGTCATTAAAATAAATATTGTTTCGAAATACGCGCACTAAGATATTAGGATAGTGCTCTTAAGATTTCCGTTTCGGTCAGTAAAATACGATTTTCAGTGTTGATATGTTATAAATAATCGTGATGGTGGTACCTCTTCCGATCCGATCAAAACATCAACATATGTAACAATATTTTGGGCCATAAATAACAAACAGTACTTTATACTCACTTCATGAATGAAATCTTTATAGTAAGTCGAATGATGAGAAAAATTTTGAAGAGCAAAATAAAAAAAAACAAACAATGTTTGATTGTACTCACACCTTGAAGTTATACAGATATAAATACGTAGGTTCAAGGTATAAATAATCAGTATTTTGATACTTTCAAACACTCTAAAACTCCTGCTAGCGCAGATGCATGTGAAAATAATTAAGGTTAAAGCTTTGATAGATGATAGTTATTAAACATTTGCTTGCATAGTTACATCATAATGTGGAATTCAGAGAAGCAGTTTGTAATTGTTGCGATTTTTTTATTGGAAGTTACTCCATGTTTGTTTTTAGCTCTGGGTGACCAACAGAATGATTGTCGAAGGTCAAGGTTTGGGTGTTGTCCAGATGGTGTAACAATTGCTCGAGGAAATAATAATGAAGGATGTCCAAATGCTTGCAAGGTATGTGCAGTTTGTTTTATCTTTGTATTAGCAGAAAAGGCATAAAAATAATTGCGTGATATTGGGTACTGAAAAAGAATAATTAATATCCTCATTAGTATCACTTTAAAATAAAATTTTTAATTTGTTCCCTTCTAATTAAGTTAAGCTAAATATTTTCATATGCAATATCTATTCCTATTCTACTATATTCATTACACAGTGTGTTTTTTTTTATATATATTTTGTATTTTATTTAATTGCATTGGTCTTCATCATTTAGATGAAGATGTTGCATTATTTCATACCACTGAATAAACATTATTTAATACCATTAGATAAACATCAATTTATACCATTGCATAAAGAGATATTACATTATATTATACCATTACATAAAGCAGTTCAGAATTTATGCCATTTAAAGACTATACCAGACATTACATTACTTAAAAAAACATTATTTTATGCAGTTTCATAAAGACATAACATTAGTTTATACTGTTAAGTGAAGACATTTGTATATTATTTCATATCATTGAACATTTATTTCATACCACCAAATAAAGACATTATATCATTAAATAAAAGGCATTCATTTTGAAAATAAAGTTTTTAGAAAAATATAAGTGAATATTGGAAAATAAGATAACTGACTACATGCCACCAAATTGGTAAAAAATAAATTAAGCTAAGAAAACTTAGAGGAAAAAAATGTTAGTATTCACAATCAAAGTAAAACATTGCATGTTATATGTAAAATATTATTGAATAAATATTTCTGCCTGGTTACTAACAGTGTAGGACTATTCTGATTATATATAGACAATGTTAAGGGCTAAGTCTAAAATACTTTTTGTGTGTATTGTTGAGATATGTAGATTAAATCATTTTTTGAGGCATCAAGTACAAATAAAAACACCAATTTGTGTCATAGCATCTTGTCACCAAGATAGGTTCTAGCTGCCATTGAAAAATTTGTTAAAATTGTGCATCAATTTGTCATAGTTAACATTTAGTTAGACAAGATAACCATATGATAGCTATGAGGAACACTTTAGGCATGTAAATTGAATAATTCCAATTGGAACCCAGACATAATTCTCTTCTAACTTGACCAACTTTTTGCTCTATTCAAAGTAATGAAAATTACCAAACTGTTTTATCCTTAAAATACCAAAATGTTTTACCCTTAAAATACCAAAATATTTTAGAATGATTCATTTCTCCATTAAGATACTGACATTTACTGATGGAAGTTGTCTATGAATAGGGTTTTAATTCTGGGCATGTTTATTTATTTATACTAAGAAATCTTAAATTAATGTCTGAACACTTCCATGATACTTGTAATATTATCTGATTATAATATCTCACAAGTTTAAGCTATTAAGTCTCTTTGAGTTTCAGAAGAAAAATCAAGGCTGTATAAACAAAATCATTGAACATTGAAATGTTTTTTGCATTTTATACTTCTTGATATGGGATAAAGCACTTTTCTCATAATATTCTGAATAATTGTTTTATTATTGAGTTTCCTGGAAGGGAGAGGGGAGAAACAATAAATTTTCAATGCAACACAATAATAACTCAGTTCTGTAAAAGATTGGGGTGATGACCGAAGAAGGGCTCATGGTCCTTCTTTATTACCATTTTGAGGCAAGAACCTTGACTGTAAGGCCATTTCAGCCCTGAAAAAAACATATTGGGAGAGTGTTGCTTTGAAACTTTTTGTATGTTTTAGTGCATGCATTTGTAATATCATTTAATAATCCAAACATGTACATTGAACATATATGACCAAAGTCATAAATAAATACATTGTACATTGAAGAAATAATGATACAGATTTGATGGTTAAAGATGTTGTGTTTATTTATTTCAGGCTACTTTATATGGATGCTGTGATGATGATTTAACTGCTGCTCAAGGTATGTAACAAGACTTCTGATTAGTCAATTTCTTTCTCAACACTTCTGATTGGTCAATTTCTTTCTTTACACTTCTGATTGGTCAATTCCTTTGTCAACACTTCTGATTGGTTAATTTCTTTCTCAACACTTTTGATTGGTCAATTTCTTTCTAAACTCTTCTGATTGGTCATTATCTTTCTTAACATTTATTAATATGACAAGAATTAAATATGAATAATAGGCATTCAGACATATTTTAGACATGAATGATATCTCTCAAAACTTTATTTTCACTACCACCTGTTACAGTAGACATCACCATGGAAAATCATTTCAATGCCTGTATTATTGTCCCCCGCCTTTTCGAAGAAAAAAGGGGGATATAGAAATAGGCTCCGTCCGTCTGTCTGTCTGTCTGTCCGTCCGTCTGTCCGTCCGTCACACTTTCGTGTCCGGTCCATAACTTTGTCATTTATGAAAGGAATTTGAAATAACTTGGCACAAATGTTAGTTATAACAAGACAATGTGTCATGCGCAACAACCAGACCCCTACCTCCAGGGTCAAGGTCACACTTGCTCATTCAAGGTCAAAATTGCCTATTTGAGGGTATATGTCGTGTCCGGTCCATAACTTTCTTATCTATGAAGGGATTTTGTAAATACTTGCCATAATTGTTCACAATAATCAGACGATGTGTCATGCGCAAAAACCAGTCACCTACCTTCAAGGTCAAGGTCACACTTGGAGGTCAAATATTAACATAGTCTGTTACAGGGTATATTTCGTGTCCGGTCCATAACTTTCTTATCTATGAAGGGATTTTGTAAATACTTGCCATAATTGTTCACAATTATCAGACGATGTGTCATGCGGAAAAAGCAGTCACCTACCTTCAAGGTCAAGGTCACACTTGGAGGTCAAATATTAACATAGTCTGTTACAGGGTATATGTCGTGTCCGGTCCATAACTTTCTTATCTATGAAGGGATTTTGTAAATACTTGCCATAATTGTTCACAATAATCAGACGATGTGTCATGCGCAAAAACCAGTCACCTACCTTCAAGGTCAAGGTCACACTTGGAGGTCAAATATTAACATAGTCTGTTACAGGGTATATTTCGTGTCCGGTCCATAACTTTCTTATCTATGAAGGGATTTTGTAAATACTTGCCATAATTGTTCACAATTATCAGACGATGTGTCATGCGGAAAAAGCAGTCACCTACCTTCAAGGTCAAGGTCACACTTGGAGGTCAAATATTAACATAGTCTGTTACAGGGTATATTTCGTGTCCGGTCCATAACTTTCTTATCTATGAAGGGTTTTTGTAAATACTTGCCATAATTGTTCATAATAATCAGACGATGTGTCATGCGCAAAAACCAGTTGCTTACCTTCAACGTCAAGGTCACACTTGGAGGTCAAATATTAACATAGTCTGTTACAGGGTATATTTCGTGTCCGGTCCATAACTTTGTCATTTATCAAAGGAATTTGAGATAACTTGGCACAGATGTTTGTTATAATAAGACGATGTGTCATGCGCAACAACCAGACCCGTACCTTCAGGGTCAAGGTCGTACTTGTTCATTCAAGGTCAACATTGTCTATTTGAGGGTATTTGTCGTGTCCAGTCCATAACTTTCTTATCTATGAAGGACTTTTGTAAATACTTGCCATAATTGTTAACAATAATCAGATGATGTGTCATGCGCAAAAATCGGTCACCTACCACCAAGGTCAAGGTCACACTTGGAGGTCAAATACTTACATAGTCTGTTACAGGGTATATTTTGTGTCAGGTCTATAATTTTTTCATAGATCAAAGGATTGTGAAAATACTTCGCACAAATAGTCACTATAATAAGAGGATGTGTCATGCGCAACACCTGCATCCCTACCTCCAAGGTCAAGGTCACACTTAGAGGTCAAAAATTAACAAAGTCTGTTATAGGGTATATTTTGTGTTGAATCTAGAACTTCTTCATAGTTCAAGGGATTTTGAAATAACTTGGCACAAATAGTCACAATAATAAGACGTTATGTCATGCACAACACCTGCTCCCCTACCTCCAAGGTCAAGTTCACACTTAGAGGTCAAAGCTTAACATGATAGATTTTTAAATTCCGTGTTTCATTTTATTTTTTTAACAAATTTATTGTTACATTTGCAGATCTAGTATTGATCATAATTTTGGACTGAATGTCCTGAGATCCATACCTCAATCTTTTGAAATAGCACAATTTTATGCTTCATATAAAACTCCCGGGGCGGGGGACGTTGGTAACTCTGTTACAAATTCTTGTTATAAAAGATAATCAGAAGAAAAAAATCATGGCAGTCCATTTATAAGTACCAGTGATCATGTATCACTATCTATATTCATGATCAGTTACTTGGGGAATTAAGGTATCAATTTTACTAAAATAAAGTTTGTATTTTTAACTGGTTAAATTTGTTTTTTAGATAAAAAAAAAATAAGTATTCTTCCCATGTTTTAACTTATTTGTCTGATTTACAGGACCAAACCAAGAGGGTTGTGATGAACTAGAAGGGTCTGGTATTCCGTGTAACGATACTGGTTACGGTTGTTGTCCAGATGGTGTTACCGCGGCAACCGGACCTAATGAAGAGGGCTGTGATATATTTATTGTCGACCCTCAACCAACGACAGACACCGATGTTGATATAACTGTTGATGGATCTGATAGGACAGGAACTGATTTACCAGGTACGGCCTATTGTCCCGGCCTATTGTCCCGGCCTATTGTCCCGGCCTATTGTCCGAACTTTCCTGTAGATATGATATCACTGTCTTTAATTTACCGGTAACAAACATGTTTTGTCACACATTGTTAACTTGAATTGAACATGTTTTAATTATATCTGCCTTTGGAAGACGGGGTAAATCAATTTAATAATAATTATTAAGTTGTTGTAGCAATATTTGTCAATTATCTTGTACTTAGGTAAAAATATATGTTTAGCAATAGTTATAACATAAACTGTTAATATTATAATATTATAATTATTTAGGAAAAAAAGTTGTATACAGTATAAGTAATATTCATTTATGTCAAATGGATAACAAAAAGTTTTTTGTATTTAGAAAAATTGTAAAAACATCTGCAAATACAAAATAAAAAATAGGAGTTTGGAATAACATCTTAATTTAGTTGTGCTATACCTTTGCATTAAAATGAACAAAAAGTTAATTGACATGACATTCTTAATTGAGATCAAGAATCTTTTCAAGACATATTTTAACAAAATGTAAATTAATAAGCTAATGGGATGCTTGCAAAATGCTTAACAATCAAGACACACAAGTTTTTTATCCAATTTATATATGCCACATATGCTATATTAAGCTGCTAATTTTTGAAGTACCGGTATATACTTAAAGAAATAACACTTGAGTTGAATGTGGGAGTTATTTTACACACATGTATGCATTTCTCTTAAAACTGCACCATTTTCTTGCTGCTTGATAAACCGATTGGAAATTCAAGCTCTGGTGATTAATGTACCAGGTTATTTCTACTCCTGCGCTCCCAAATAAGGCATAAATATCGTAAGCCTGATTACATTTATCTTACAACAAAAAAAATCGCAAGATCTCGAGAAAAGTAAACTCATTTATATGTATTGATTTAACAAAAAACAACAAATTTGAAACTCTGGAATTAGAAAGAATAAAAAACTATGGTGATAAGTCAACTGAAATTTAGTATGTGGTATAAAGTAATAAAACATTTAGGTTTGAGTATAAAAGGCTTAAGATTAAAATAAGTCAGCATCTGATTGGTTAATTTTATAATAAGGGTTTAAAACTCACCAATGGTAGAAATTTTTTCTTGGCAGTTTATTTTAGGTATGGGTTTAAAATTGTTCAATGGTAGATGTTTTTCTGGCAGTTTTACATGTATACTGTATCCTTGCCATGAGGAGGTTTGAAACATTGTGATTTTATGCTAACTGTTGGAAAAATTGGTGTATGCCACTAGGATAAAATTAGGCAAGTCGTCAATTCCTTTTAATTAATCATGGACAGTTCCTCAATTCCTTTTAATTAATCATGGACAGTTTGACAATCACATTGGAACCAGTCTGTTATACAAACTATTGCGGAGAAATGGTGACATACATATAGGAACCTCATGATAATTAACTACCCATAAAGCCCAGCTATTATCAGACATATATATATATTAGTCTGTCACATGACAGAAAGGCTATAATTATCTTGTTAGAGGTGATAGTTTGTTGTTACAAGAAACACAATAATAATGTAAAGAGCATCGTAAAGTAAGCAGACGGCATCATAAAACACTCCCTGTATCATGCAGTTTCCAGCAATTTTATTATAAAACTTTCCAGTTTGTGTTCTTGCGTTACTTTAAGTAATAAATGTGTCTATTTCGTGACAAGCTACCTACCATCCCCCCCTTGTATAGACATGAGTTTGTGTCAGTTCTGATGATATCTTAAAGATGTACAAGGGTTTAGTGATGTACAAAGACTGTCTGGATTAGAGGATTTTGTAAGTTTTAATTAAAAAGCAAATGAAAGTGATGTCTGGCGGGTCATTATAAACTTATCTTTTACCACTCTTACCATTACCAACGTCAGACATACTGGTCAAGTCAAAATGAAAATATATGTAGCTAAGAACTAAGCTTGTATCTGAAAATAGAAAGATTACAAAAGAAATAATGCAAAAGTTGTTTTGAAAAGTCAGAAAGCATTGCATGCAGTTGAGATCAATGACCTTCTGATTTGGCAACTTTGAAGGTCATAATAACCTTCTAGAAACCCAAAGGAGTGAGAAGGAAGCAAAAGGAGTGATAAAATCTCCCCAAGATTTGCATATTGGAATTGTTTCCTGCAAACTGATTTATATTGAACAGATTTGTGATTTACAAAATTATTTGCTCTCTGTGTTACTTTATTGCAAATTTGGAGAGAACAATTTCCTTGATGGCAATATTTTCTAGAAATTTCCGCCAGGAGGTTTTTAGCGTCAAATTTTGTTAGTAGTTGATAAATGATTCAGTCTTTTGTGGAAATGAAATTTGGTTATTTTGAGTCGACATCAATCAATAACCATTACATGGCTAACATCTACATTTTCCAGGAATGGAAATTAATTTAACAAATTTTGGTATTGTAAATGTTAGAAATACAAGAACTTGAGACATTCTGTCTGCACTTAAATATCTTGTAATTTTGGGGGGCTTTTGTAAATTAAATAATGTCTGTGAAAAAAATACTTAATGAAAACATGTCTTGAAATAAATAGATATATTATTTAAACTTCAAATTACATACAATTTTTTTTTTTTTTGGTTTATTTCAAAATAAAATATAAATAGAATATTTTATATAATCATGAATGACATATTTGTTAACAAATCTGCTTGCCAATGATATAACTTGAATTTAAGTGTTTTAATTCTGCATTAAGAATTTTCATAATTTTTTAACAAGCTTGGACTTACTGCTTACAGAAAAGCCAAAAATGTCTTGTTTTCTAAGAAATAATTTGGAAAGTTTTTTTTCTTTTTGCTGTTTTGTGGATGCAATATAAGCAATAAGCACCCAAGTTATATGTTGGTCAGAATACTGAGCAAGTTGTATTATATTGGTCTGTTTAGAAATATTTGAAAATAAAAATACATACGCCATTACCAACGTAATTTATCATTATCAGAAGATTCCTGAATGGTCTTTGGCTTTAGTTATTGACTTAGTCAACAGAAGAATATCCCATAAAACCCACAGCATTTAGGAAAAATACATGACACTACAAAAAGGATGACACTACAAATATATGACAACACAAATTATGATCATATTTAAAGACAAGAATTATGAAATTTCTAACTGAAGCTACAGGGCCATTGGGACAGATCAATTGTAATTGTTTGTTATTTCTTCAATACTTGTCAAATGTCAGGAATTGTACAGCTATTATAATTCTGAGACATGTTTGAAAACAAGTTTCCTTGTGGGAATAAGCGATTAGCATAAACTAAACTTACAGCTTTTGAAATAGAGAAATATTTAGAATGAACTGCCATCTTAATAACAGCATGTATTTAATATGATCATTTTACTCTATTAAAATTTAGCAGTTTAGGTCACTTTTCCATTTTACTTTCTTATGAAAGTAGCATGTTCTGTTCAGTAAAAATAAAATAAGAATGAATAAATGTATTTGAAACTAGTAATTCAAATCCTGTTATCTAATTGGATCTTTCTGAATAAAAAAATTGAAAGTGACCAATTGAAAGGCTTTCTATTTTTAGATTTGTTTTACATTTTGAATATTAAGTCATGTTTGATCGTAAAGAATGCTAATATATGTTGATATGAAGTTTAGTAATTTCACTGTATCATATGAATTAGGGAAATTCAAAAAAGTAAATAGTCACTTTTTTTTACAGGACTCTAAGCATGTATAACAATGAATATTGAACAACTGTTTCAATAATTCATAAAGATAGCTGTAGAAATGATTTAACCAAACAACAAATCTTTTTTCGATCTATTTCTTTATTCTTGTGGGAGTGATAAGTGCTGTCTTTCATTCATTGACCTTTAACATGCTGAAACTAAAAAAAGGTTAGCTTTTGCAACCAATATAGAGCCAGGCCAGCCTGTACATCAGATTCTGTGCTGATGACCACGCTCTATACATTTGGCTGACAAAGTTTTCATCTTGATATCCCAAAAAATGAAAATGGACAGTTCCAAAAAATGGAAGGTGGACAAGTTCATTTTAGAAATTTGGAAAGTTATTGGTTTTGTTCTTGGCTTTATCTTTATTGCATTAAAATTTACATAAAAGAACCCCCCTTAAAGAATATAGGAAAGATGGCACTTTTCACCCACCATACTCTGATTGTACATTGAAGCATGTGATATAATACTTCTTTCCCCCCAACAGTTCAGTGTCATCTTGCCAAGAACACTGGTCCATGCAAAGAATATACAGTCATGTGGTACTTTAACATGCGTGAAAACAAATGCGATAGATTCTGGTTCGGTGGTTGCGAGGGCAACACTAATCGGTTTAAAACTGCAAAGGAATGTGCAACGGCGTGTCAAAACGTCGTCGTAGTAAGAGGTACAGGGTTTTTACCGGAATAAACAAACCATGGTGAAGTCAGTGTCAATAATGAATATCTATTGGAAAAGTAGCAATAATACAGTCTTAGGTCAGGGTATCTGATACAAATAGGACAAAAGGGACTCTCTTTGTGATAAATGAGAAACTTTGTGTTCAATAAAACTGTCTTAACTCAATAAGCTTATGAAACAAATTGAATCAGTGTTTATATGAGACATGTTAACACTGAGATTTGTGAAACCCTTGTCATTAAGGAACTGGTACAATCCAAGAATATGGGAAAATAATTTGAAATAACATTTCTAAAAGTTCTGAAATTGGTCAGATTTGCTTCATTAATTTTTGCAGCATATGTAGAATCATTTAATGTTTAATCTTATCATAATGGATTGTGGGAAAATTATTAATATTTGAAATGTTATCAGAGTGGCTGTAATTCTGTAAGCTTGGAGAATCTAATTTAATCTATTTTACATGTGGCTAGCATACAACTAGATTTAATGACAATGCCAGTTGGGGAATTTTTTTTGGCTTATTTTGATGTTGCAGTTCATGAAATGCTGCTGGTGACACAAAAAAAAATAACGGCAATTTTGAGATTTAAGAAAGCATGAAACAAAAAATGTTTGAGAAAATTTCCTTTCTATGATAAACTGGTTTTCTATGGAATGATGGGAAATAATCTGTTGATATTCCTTCAAATACAAATGTGCAAAAAAAAATATTGAAAATCTTGGGATGTTGAATTTGAATATGAAAAGCCAATTTGTTGAATTGATGGAGAAACAAACTTTACCGTACAACCTCTGTTAAGCACAACTGCTGGTTTTCTGATATTGTCATGTATTTTTGTTGTTGTACAGTTGGTGTAACAACAGATATGTAACGGGTACTTAGGGAAAGCATCCTAATGACTTGTATACCTACAACAGGTTAAGAATACTCTTACTGTCACAGCGAGCATGCAGCTGGATTGAGTATGGTGTTACAACTATGTTATGTAATGACTGCATTCATGGTGCTGTTAACAGAGTTTGTACGGTAGCAGGGGAAAAATCAATTTATCAGGACTGATTGACAAGAAAAGGCTTAAATTGTCTCCTCATAGAAAATCTATGATTAGTTTCATTTAATTCTGACATCACCATGGCTTCACAATTATTCTGGATACTCTGTTGTTGCATTTAGTTTTGCATATTATTTTTTTTACATTTTTTTTTTCAAGTTTTCTGCTTTTATTCTTGTTGTAGCCGCAACACCTTTTGCTAAATTGTACAAGCTTACTGTTGTCATCATAGCTTCAACAACCTTGCTTGACCTATACAATTATTAAGTGTTGTATATACAAACAAAAAAAATTATATTGTGTAGCAGTACTTTTAGTATTTTGTATTTAATGTTTATATTGTTTATATTCTATTGTATCTTTTTTTCCATGGATATCTTAAAATGTAAATCATCAACTTGAAATGATAGGTTAATTATTATCCAATGAAATTTTGCTATACAAAAGATAGGTTAATTATTATCCAGTGAAAGTTTGCTATACAAATATGGCACATAGAATGGCCCTCTAATTTCTAATTTTATTATTTTATTTAATATTTTCAAAATCTACTTAAAAGGTACTTTTTCTCTAATTTTTGTTTGAAAAAAATTGACACTAAGTTTAAAAATACAAAATGTACATGAATTTTATAATTTCTTCATAAATGTTTTCATTCCATCAAATATCAGCAATTTAATAAATTTTATGCTCATTGACTGAAGATTACCAATAATCCAGGATGTTTTTCTTGGACTGCACCAGGGAGCCTTTAAGTCTTGTAGTTAATGTTCACCTTTCTAACACAAGAAGATATTTGGTTTGAGTCTACACAACTCAATGCTTTGTTTCTGATATGGCAATAAAACTGGTTAGTTCCAGGAAGAGTACTTAAAAGTGATTTATTAAGTTTAAAAACTTGTTTTACATTAAGGCATAAATAATTATGTACCTAAAATCTAAACTAATGGACATTCTCTGTAAATTAAGATATACTGAATTCCATTGCACCTTTTGCATTAACAATTTGCAATTCTATATTTTAATCAAGATACTTTTTCCTGTAAAAATAACTGCTTATTTAGGGTTCAGTACAACACTTACATTTCTCCCTTCATTTGGCGGAGAGGTTGTTTGAAATATTTGATGTGTAATAAGAGAGGAAGTTGTTGGTCATTTGTGTTGTGTTGTTAAGCTCTGGATGAGAATCCACAAAATCTTCTTGCCCGTCTGCTGCTTCTTATTTTTTTATCATTTTTTTTTCTGCAAAAATGGACTTTCTTCTTCAGACAGTGCACAATAATTACTTGTATTCAGTAGTCACGCCTCTTTTTCCCTGCAGATACAGTGAAGTAGCACTTTCCAAAACTGGAGTTTCGATTTTCTGTTATTGGTACAGTGAAGTGTCAAAATGACGCAGTCAGGGGCTTCAAAATTGCATTTTCTCGATTAATTAAATGTCTAGCAACTCGTGGTTAAGATCTTGTCAAGTAAAATTGCAAGTTGTATTTCTGTTCTTAATTGTTCTTAGCTGCATGTGAAAAAACAGATGCTTTTCAGCTTTAAAAGAAAGGAATTAATATAGTAATTTTATTCTTCCATGTTTGCATTTTTTTTCTCTCTCTCTCGCTTTTTTTTTTTGCTTTTTTCTGCATGCTTGATTAATAACTTTCTGATATTTTACTCTTTCTTATTTTATTTCATATGCATAATTATGTAATCTATTTATTTAAATACTTTACTTTTTCTAATGAAATTTCGTTGACTAAAATAAGTTTCAAAATATAGGAATGCTTAAGAAGGGCTAAATCAGGTTTGGAATTTGCACCAAATATAGATAAAGGCCATTTTATGACAACTACATATTTGAATTAATGACTCAAAAGTTGTCTAGAATTTCGGTAATTTTTTAGTGAACAAGTATTTATCTTATAGACATTTTTTGGAAAGCTGTTGATTAACGTTTTGATATTAATTGTTCTGCAAGAGCAGATCTGTCATTAATAGTGAATTTGGTACTTTTGTAATTAAAAAAAGAAATCACTGAAAGAAGCAAAAGACTGGTTTAAATTTTTTAAAAAGTGCAAATTTGACACAGTAAATCTAGTTTTCATAGAGAAATGGCATGTTATATTTTAAATGCAACCTGTATAGAAAAAAAGCATGAATAAGTAATCTCACATCCTTATTTTAACTGAACAATCTTTGGTCAAAACTAATATCACTCTAATATCAGTGAAAGCTTAGAAAACACTGCATGTTTAAAATAAATAATTATTTTATAAGGTTAATATTTAATACATTTTTTGTTTGTTTGCTCTACCTTAAATAGAATCTCGACTCCCTGTGTGCGAGCAGGCAAAGGAGATTGGGCCATGCCGTGCAGCACTTCCTCGTTGGTTTTACAACTCTAGGACAAGGGCTTGTGAACAGTTTTTCTATGGTGGTTGCCAGGGTAATGACAATAACTTTGAAAGACAGGAAGAGTGTGAGAACAGATGCGGTGTTGTTAGAGAAAGACGTAAGTGAAAAAATTATTATTTGCTTTACTGGTATTAATTTTTTTTCAGCTTTCTAAAATTGCGACATTTTCTCTAGGTTTGTAAGTGTTGTAAATGGTACATTAGTTTTGTACTTGTGATCATTTTTTTTTAAGTCAAACATACATAGAACATGTTATCACCGTTTTGGTAGACCTAGGGGCCCTATAGGCAAGGGAGAGCACCTAGGTCAAAAAATCAACTGTATAAGAGTCAGTTAAACAAGTAGGCTTCATCAATTGAACACATTTTGTTTGAACCAACAGCAGCATATTGTATACTAGTATACGTTTTTATCAATGTGAAAATAGAAACAAACTTGATGATCAAGCTACATTTATTATAACTTTCTTTTGCCGTCATTTCACAGCACTAACAGCGAAGGAAGTCTGCGCTCAACCACAATCTACCGGACCTTGCCGGGCTTCAATCCCTCGTTATTATTACAATGTTGAGACGAAACGTTGTGAAGAGTTCACTTACGGTGGTTGTGGTGGCAATAGAAACAACTTTGAGACCGAGATTTTGTGCCGTCAGTACTGCCGTGCCGAGGTAGCTACAACCACAAACACCAGGACTGACACCAGAACTAGACGTATGTCATTTAATCTTTTACAATAAAAGTACAAAAAGATGTTATGAAAATGGATAATTGAAATTATTTTGATAATTTCCACAATTTCATTGCTTTTGCTGGGAAACGACATTTTTTGTGAAATGACACATAATTGTATTGGATTGAATTAAAGATAATCGCATTTTTAAGTTTTAAGTTCAGATTATATTGTAGTTTTATTAGATATTGATTGACTTCAGCAATTTTGGAAACTGATTTTAGAGAATAAATTTTTAAAAAACCCCGCTAATTTTTGTCTAAAAGCGGAACTGATTTTAGAGAATATAATTATTAAGATAACACATATTTTTATGTAGAACCGGTATGCGAGCTTACACCAGATGTAGGACCGTGCAGACGTATGATGACCAAATACGCATACAACATGACCACGATGAAATGTGAACCCTTCACATATGGTGGTTGCCTTGGTAACCACAACAACTTTGAAACAGAAGACAAATGTATCTCCTATTGTAGTCTACGAGCTGGTAGAGACAGGACAGGTGAGATATAGGATTATGTTGTACTTTTTGTCAAAAATGAACACATACGCTAAAATTTTATTTCTTATCATGAGAAATTTATTATCCATAGAATGTAACTATGTGAACAGAAATATATCTTAATAAATAAAGTAGGTGAGGAACACACGTACAACACCAGGTCAAGTTTTAAAAGTTTTTATTGGCTACTAGTTTCGAGTAATACAATACTCTTCATCAGGCTTAAAAAATATCAAATTCTAACTACTGAAGTACTAATATTTAGGGATACTTTTTTGTGTTTTGTTACTATAAATAGAAGTATTGTTACTAATAATAGATATAGTTTTGGCACTGTTCCAACGAGCTTATCATTAAGTATAACATGTATATTGTTAGAATAAAAAGAATCACAAGTTAATTATGCTTTGTTTAATACCCCATAAATCTGTCCAATGTTTATTATGAGTTCATTTGTTTCACTGAACATACCATACTCGTCTTGGCAAACAGTTTCTGTACTCGATGATGGGGAGGGTTCCTCAAAATTTGCAGTTGGTGTTGTTGGTCTGCTGTGCTTTGGAGTAGGTGGTAACGGCGAGATTGGTGTAGGAATCAAGATGTGTGTTGGTGGTAGTTCTACATTTGATTTGGATGGTCTCTTTTTGTTGAATTTTAAGGCTGGTGTCCCTGTCTTGCCCATAACAATTCTAAATTTTGGAGTTTTCCTAAGAGTTTTTGTGGTAGTTTGGTTGTTGATAGCTGGAAAGGTGATTTTGGCTTTAGGTTTTTCGTCTGGTACATCTACTGTGTTGAAAATTTTCTCTGGAAATCCATGCTGTTTGATGCTATGTTTCCTTAGGTATGATTTTTGTTTGAAAGTTTTTGAGCACCATGAACACTCAAATCTTGTTGTATTATGTTCATGTGTCTTTATGTGTTTGTATCGTTGTTGTTTTGTTGTGCCTACATAGCCACATGTATCACACAGGTAGTGGTATTCTTTCTTATAGAGAAGTTTGGTTGCATAGAAAATTTCTTGTTCCAAATCTATTGGTTCAGGTTGAGACCCTGTGGAGTAAGCGTTTTCAATCTTCGTATCCATACTTCCTCTAGTCTAAGACGTTTGTTTATGTTACGTTCACTTCCTTGGATGATGATGACGTTAACGTCGTTTATCGTATGTCCCGCGCTATTGAAATGGCGGGAAATTGGTTTTGTAGTATTTCTAGTTCTGACGTCGGCCATATGCCCGTAGAATCGATCACGTAATGTGTTTCCTGTTTGTCCAACGTACTTCAGGCTACATTGTTTGCAAGTAATGAGATAAATAATACTAACAGTTGTGCAATTCAAATGGCTGTTTATGGAGTATTTTGCCTTTGTTACTGTACTAATGAATTCTGTCGAGTTTGTCATGTATTTACAAACACAGCATTTCTTACCACATGCGTAACTGCCCTTTTGTAGCAACTGCTGGTTAAGGTCGGACCTAACCAGCATGTCTCTGACGGATTGAGCTCTACGTGTAACGGATAGAATCTTCGTAAATTTTATGAAGTTGGTGGAAGTGCTGCCTGAGATAATGTGGAGGTTTCTATTAAAGATTCTTTGAGCATTAGGAGTAAATGGATTATAGGAGTATGTGAACGGAATATTCTGGGCTTTGTTTTTCGTGTCCCTTTCTGTAGACAAAATTTGTAGTCTGTCCAATTTTTCGGCTTTCTTGATGGCTTTTTGTACTAAATCCTTAGGGTATCCTCTGGCTGTGAGATTTTGTAAAAGATATTCTGCGCATTTAAGGTATGCTATCGTATCGCTACAAATCCGTCGTAATCTTACCGCTTGGCTGTATGGGATACTGTTTTTTTGGTGTGTAGGGTGGTAACTAGTATAATGTAGGTACATATGTGCATCTGTAGGTTTGGTATAGACCGTAGTGTGAAGAATACCTGTGTTGTCCTTAGTAATTTTAGTGTCTAAGAAATTAGCTTCCATGGGATTTATATCGTAAGTAAACTTAATTGACTCGTGAAATTGGTTTAAACAGGCCATGAAGGAATTTAATTCCTGTCTGCTAGAAATATATCTTTTGTAAAAACTATACATGTAGATCAAGAACCCAGGGCCTCTATTGATTAATGGTTAAGGTCATTGATTTGTAATCACTGTCCTGTCACCACTTTGGGTTTGACTCCCTCCAGGACTTTGGATAACTTCATGTGCCAAAGCAATCCAGCTAGGCTGTAAAAGGTCATTATGTTATGCCCAGATGCCTCAATGTGTCTGAAGTAATCTAGATAGGAGCAATTGTCCTGATAGTCTGGATAGTCAGCATATGATTTACTACTCAACCAAACAAACAAACAAAATAAGAACCAGAAACAAAAGATACAGCTAAGATGACACAAAGAAATTTATTCTTAAAGATGCTGTCACTATAGGGACAGACTATTCTACAAATGCAGTCTGACTATAGGCTTTATTTAGTGCAATTATTTAGTGTTTCGGAGATTGAAATCCCATAAATTTGAATTAACACTGGACATAACCCTAACACAATTTCAGATGTGGTCTTGATCACAGGTTTGACTGTATTCATAACTGTTATATGCATCATGCTGAGTCCCTCATTATTAAATTTGACTTAAAGTTTTCTTGCATTATTGCATTATTAGATGACTGTCAGTTGAGCCAGGAGGCGGGTCCATGTCGTGGCAATATGCGACGTTACTACTATGACGCTACTCAAGGTCGTTGCTTCCCATTCTCCTATGGTGGTTGTCAAGGTAACCGTAACAACTTTGCTGATGACACTACCTGTATGGAAGCTTGCCGAGAGGTTAGAGTTGAGCGACCTGTTACAAGATACCCATCCAGAGGTCAGTTTCTAGTATTCTTTAGAAGACAGATTTAAAAGTTATTATTCTTCCAAACAATTTTTGAAAAAAAGTTCAACTAGTTCTACTTAGTGTTTCAAAAATTAGATAATTTTATAATTTGTCAAAACACACAATAATGGCCATCTCCGTACACAGTACAAATGTATGTTGATAAAAATATGAAATTAAATCATACTAGTAACTTAACTAAATTTCATTAATCATATACATGTATATGTTATTTTGAAGTTTGATTTTAAATATTTCTTAAATAACCATGGTACCTGGCTTAATTATTTTAGTGAAACCTGGTTACTGTCCACTCGTTGAAGACGGAACCGCCTCAACATGTCAGAATGAATGCTCTCAGGACTATGAGTGCCAGGATTCAAGAAAATGTTGTAAAAATTCCTGTGGGGGAGGAGTCTGTAACTCACCATTGGCAGAGGAACCACGCCCAAGAGGTACATATACAATAATTAAAGGATAATTATATTAGGTGAAATAAAAGTATAATTACATTTATTAAAGGACAATAAAATATTTTAAATACCTTGCTTAATTTTCATAAAAACATTTTGTGTGTACAATGAATGTAACTAAGATATCGGGATTTACAATAAATGTGAAAATCATGAATATGTATCTCATGTTTTTTTCATGAATATGTCTATCATGTTTTCTCATGAATATGTCTATCATGTTTTCTCATGAATATGTACATCATGTTTTCTCATGAATATGTACATCATGTTTTCTCATGAATATGTATTTCATAGTTTCTTGCCAGGAATTAGCAATTTGTCATGTTTTGCCTTGAATATTACACAATCATGCATATTGTTGTTATTTTAGTAGTATCAGATGTTTGTACTCTCCCTCTCCGAACACCATGTACAAAGAGAGGTAGCGGTCCATACTGGTATTATGAGAAGTCAAGTGGACAATGTAAGGCAGTACCAAATGGTGAATGTAACAACAACCAGAACAATTTCAACAGCCAATCAGAATGTGAGGCTTACTGCGGCAGAGAGAGTATGTCTCATTTCTTTATTTAGTCTTCTCACTGGTAGCAAATGATTCTGTCCATACAACTAGTGCAGACCAACATCAGACGGCACATCTGTCGCGTCTGATTAAGCTCTGCACTGTTAACTATTCAGTCACTACATATTTTAAAATTTTATCTGAAAGTGGTGAATAGCTTTGTCTAGATTGAAAGATACAGTTTGCTAATTGTATTTTAACAACGTTTGTGAAATCGGTGTAAAATGCATTATATTTTAAAAATACAGTATCCAAAGCCTTTTTGTCTGTCTTTATAAACAGGAAATAAACATGTTTATAAACTGTGGCATGCATAATTGGTCTTATTTATTGGATCTTTAGCATAGATGTATGTATTTTAAGATAATTTTATTAAAATGTCATTTCTTTATCCTTTAAACCCTCATCCTACTTTATTTCCATTCTGGAACAGTCTGTTGTCAATTTTAGAAGCATTATTATTAGAAAGTTGAAAGTATGCCAACAAAGTAAGCCTAGTCAGAGTGCATTGATGTGCAGACTGACCTGGCCCTATATTAATGGCAAGAGCTCTGTTGGGTTAGTTCTAGGTTTGTTAGGGTTTAAGTTAAATCTTTGTGTCATATTTTACAGGGGTGTGTAGACCACTTACATATGAATCTGATATTCGTTGTTTGGCATACATGGAAAACTGGACCTACAATGCTGAAACTGGTATTTGTGAGATGTTTGTTTACGGAGGATGTGGTGGATCAGCCAACAACTTTGTCTCTGAGGAATCGTGTAATCGTAAATGTGGAGTCGTTACACCAGTGACCAAAGCTCCTGAACCTGCGTCTGCTGGAGGTAGACTTATTTTGTTAACCATTTGCCTGCTATCTGTCTGATTCTATCCATGCAACCAGTGCAACCAAGATCATCCAGCACATTTATGCAGTCTGATCATGGTCTGCACTGTTTGCTATTCAGTCAATAAATATTTTGAAGTTTTCTCTTAAATTAATCACGGTCTTGTCCATGTTGAAAGAAGGACATGTATTTAGCGTGGTAAGGTTTTACCAGTGATCAATAGTCGGGTAATCAAACTTACTTACTTTAACACTTTTTGTGGATAATAATTGACTAGATAACTTTTAGCTATCCAGCTAAGTTACAGAACGGCGGTGGTTCTACTCAGATACCCATTTGTACCTGAAATAATGCACAGAAGGGTACTGGAGGTCTTCCTCCACCAGTAAAGCTGGAAAGTTGACATATGATCTATACTTTGTTGGTGCAATGTAAAACCAATAAAAAAAAAAAAACAAGAAAAAACAACAAAATAAAAAAAGCAAAAGATCATTTTTCATATAGATCAGTCACTGCCTCATTTGTTAAGTATTAAAAAAGTCTGTTTGATTAACTTACTAGAATTAATATAAATCCTAGTTTATTTAGATTTCAACTAAAAATATATAATTAATATATAAGTATTTGGCTTGGATACTTTATTTATAGTTAAAATGTTATAGAAATTTGTGCAATGGCGGAGGACAGTGGAAACTGCTTGGCGTACATTAGAAACTGGAGATACGACAGTCTAACTGGCAAGTGTGTGGAATTTACATACGGCGGATGTGGTGGTAATGCAAATAATTTCCAGTCCCAACAGGAGTGTGAGGCCTTCTGTACAAGAAATGGTATGAAAAATATTTAGTCTCTTGACTGTGTGAAGATTGATAATTCACTTTTTTCAAAACTAGAGAATTTGTCATGTTTTTGGCTGCCTGGCCTTATTTCTTCAAATAAAATGTGTCTTATAATATGTTTATTCTAATGTTTTGTTCGGAATAAAACTGTTAAATAATGATAATAGAAGAGTGAATTTTAAACAAGCCTTTCTGATTAACTTGTGCCTATAACTATAATTGATAATATTTGATATTATAAGTATGATCAGCAATGTACTCTATGATTCAGTTGTATGTCAGAAGAACGAGGATCCTGAGATAGGTTGTCTAGCATACATGCCCCGCTGGAGATACGAACCTTCGACCAGAGCTTGTGAAAACTTTATTTATGGAGGTTGTGGAGGTAATGCAAACAATTTTGAAACATCAGAAGCTTGTGAAGGGAAGTGTGTGGCACGAGAACCAAGAAAGGAAGATAACAGAGAAAACAATAATAGAGTATCGTCATGGAGAGGTATGTAGCATAGCAACAAACATGTGTTATTGGAGGGCTTGGTTTGAAAGGGTTGTAACTCATATTTAATAAAGAAGGAGTTATGGCCCTTTCACACCAAGCTGTCATTTTGTCTGTCAATATACATGTACATAAGAGTATGTCGACTTTGTGAGCTTGTTTCTTAAAATGAAGTTTAATTCTTTTTCAGTGGGATAATTTTTCTTTTTTAAGCATTTCTTTACCAGTAATTGTTAGTTTTTTTGATGTTTACATTGAGAACGTGTTTTTCAGTAAATGGTTAATATTGTTCAATCCAGCATGCTTTACTTTGTATGTTTCTGTATTAATAATTTGCAAGTTCTCAACATTTTTGTCATAGGAGGAGTTGATTCAGTGAAGGAAAGATAGCTAAATGATTAAATTTTAAATATTTTAGTATCTGAAACACGTTTCGAGTTCTGTTTTTTCTTCTTTTATAGAAATCTGTAAGTTACAAGCAGATGTTGGACCTTGTAAACAGTATATCAAGAAATGGCATTATAACAGTGTAAGTCAAGACTGTGAAGAGTTCACTTATGGAGGTTGTCTTGGTAACCATAACAACTTTGAGAGCAAGGACCAATGTAAGATGTACTGTGACTCATCTAGATGGTATAATCGTGAACGTGTCACCACTGAGAGACCAGACGAAACTATTGAAGAATCAAGCGGAGAAATACCTGTTGCAACTGGTGTTGGTAGGTATTTTCTGGTAAAAGATGCATGACTTGACTTTCAAAGGTTCAAATCTCACCAGAGGTGTATCATACATGTACCCTTTAGTTGCCATAGAGAAACCATCTTGCTAGTTTTTGGAAGATCTATGATTCTACCCATATTTCTGCTTTGGGGTTAACTCCACAAGTACAAGCTGGAGAATTGCATGGCATAATAGAGGTGTTGTAACTTTAAACTAAACACAACAACAAAAAATAGTCATAAACAATCGTTTATCATTATAATATTAAAAGCTGCCATAAATTACAGAGCATAGCTTAATATTTTTATGGATATGCAATTTTAGTATATTGTTATGTCCCTTCCACTTGGGTTAGGGAAGTCGGGCATATAGATTTTTATTTGTCTGTCACACTGTCTGACATTGGCTGCAAAACAGTGGAATACAAGGCATTCCTGTTCTATTGACTCATTTCTAGTTGTCAAGGAATTTAAATGTTAATTTTGGATATGATAAATAAGATATTTAGACATACACAATATACATGTCACATATTTATGAAAGTGTTTGTTTGATTAGATGTGTGCCACATGGAGAGTCATACTGGACGGTGCCGTGCATATATCAGAGCTTGGTACTATGACTACCTGAACGGAGAATGTAAACAGTTTATTTACGGAGGTTGTGATACTAATGGTAACAAGTTCGATACCCAGGAGGCTTGTGAAGCCAGATGCAGCCCTAGACGTATGTATTGGATTTAACTTAGTACAGTGTTTCCATAATCTTATGGTCGATTCTTGAAAAAGATATAACATTGCATGTTTCTGGTATTTAACACACAAAAATATTGTACGTAAACAGGAACAAAATGTTAAGCTGCTATTTTAAGTAGGGTTTTTACCATTCAGCTATGATTTTGAGCATACACCCTTCCCTCTGAAGGAAATATACTAACATATCTCTTTCATTCAAGCATTTTGGAAGTTTTTTTGTTTTTGGGTTTTTTTTTTCAAAATTCAAACAATAATTTTTGCAGCAAATATATAGCTTTATACACTTTAATATGTGATATTTTCAGAGATATGTCTGCAACCAAAGCAGGTTGGTAACTGTATGGCGTCCACGAGGAGGTTCTACTTTGACTACAGTGCCCAAGGGTGTAGGGAATTTGTGTACGGAGGTTGCGATGGTAACGCTAACAGTTTCGAGACCAAAGAAGCCTGCGAGGGACGTTGTGATTCTCTAATAACAGATAGAAATATTCCAGGTAAATATGGAAGAAAACTATATTATAATAAGAACGGAATTTGTTGATACTTGTTTGATGGTAAATGTTACAAAATAACCTTGTCTATTACATTTACTCTTAATGTCACAAAAAACTAGAATGTTATTATTATATAATAACACTACATGGATGTTTTACACTGAAATTTCAATAACATTGTTATCTATGGTTGAATGTCATAAATGTCACAAATTAACATTGTTGGTCAAAAAAATAACTTTATTAACTAATAACGAATGTCACAAAATAACATTGTTGGTCACAAAATAACATTCTTGGCTATGGTGAATGTCATTTAATGTCAACAGACTTGTTATTGCAAAATGAAAAAAAAGCTAGTTTTATGGCAAAAACTCAGTAAATGTCATAAATTGCACATGTACTTGGTATGTATGTCACAAATCAGGTTTGCAATGTTGCAATCCAAGATCATCAAATGTGACACAAAAAGAATTTTATTTAAAATTTTGAAACTCTACAAACTTGTTGGACTGGATGTATGGACTCAAAAATTGCAGTGAAGTGAATTTTGATTTCACATTGCAAATATTATAATTGTGACATTCTGCTTCATCCAAAACTTTGACTTTTACTTAGGACTTTAATATTGTTATTTTTTTTTACTCAACTTTGTTACTAAATATTTAGAGATTGAAGAATGTGGTGGGTTATACACCATCTTTGAGAGATTCAAGTTTAGATTTAATTCAAGATAACATTAAACAACCAACAATTTGATTTATAGGAATTTATAATCCTTTTTGATATTTTTTTTCTTGAGTTTTCATTGTTCAGAAATTTATTCCTGTTAATTGAACATATAGGCAAAGTTTACTACACATTTTCATTGGTAAATGGGCTTAGATTGGTGTTGGTGATTATTATAATTATAATGAAAAAAATGTCCCAACTACTGTAACTACCAGTAATGTTAAAAAGTATGCACTATCATGAATAGCAGTATAAAAACATGTTGATTTCAAGATCTTTCTGTACAACTTTTTTTTTTGTGAAAGATTTTTATTTAGAGGATTATGTTTTAAACTAGATATGCATTTTGTGTAAGCACCACTTACTGTTTACTATGAGGATTCTCAGAAGAAGTATTGTCAAAATTTCATATTCTTATATTTTGTCTGATCAATGTTGTTAGTATTAACTTTAAAAAGCCATTTTTGATTGAAATTTGAATTAACATTAAAAGCTGCAGATGAAGGTGAAATTACTACTGTTACACCAGGAAATGTAGAAGAAACAACAGGTATATTCTCCAGTGAGGATATGAAAAAATATCTTCACTGCAGTGAAAAAAAAATAGCACAAATTCTGTTCATTCATTTTTCATATGTGGCTTTATTATTTTTTTCTCTTTGCATATATAACAAAGGTTCAATGCAAAAAAATGCTTGTAAAGTTGCAAATGAAGTATTTAGGGTAGTTTTGGGGCTGAGCCTTTAACATTATTAACCAATGTGTGTGATTTTTAGATGTGTTTTGTGTTGGAACGTTTTGTGATGTCTTGAAATGATCTTTTTTGTTTGTTGAGCTGTAAACATCCTAATATTTTATTCTTGTAGTAATCACTAATATTAAGCATCAGAGCAAAATTAAATTTGCTCTGATATATATAGAAGGAGCATGAATTGATATGCATGAGTGAATATCCAAGTTGATAATTTAATTGTCAATTATGCATGTCCTTAGATGTCATACCAAGCTCAAGAATATAGCATTTGACAATATAACAAAATATCTTATAAGTGCAGTCATTCTGAATTTTTAAGTACTAGTATTTGCTGATTTAAGTATAAGATTTTGGCTTCATGTAGATACAATATTGGTTCCATTTAACGCCCCCTGGGGCTTGCATATTTTCAAAAGGGGGCTGCTAATTAGAACTATTATAAAATGTGATTTTAAATATGTTTATTAAAGATACAATTCAATTCAATATAAAAAATCATTATTTACTGTTATGATCTGATATATGATACAGGATTTTTTAAAAATTATTTTACATTACTGGAGTGTCAGTAACTGTTATTGATTAAATAGAAACAGTTGTATAATTTGGATTGCTCTTTGATTATATAGATTAAAAATCTATAAGGTAAGATTTTTCGCTAATTAGAGAGGGGGTTTTAAATGGAAACAATACAGTATTCATGAAAATAGCAAACAAATTATTTTTGGGTTTGATATGAGTGATATGGTCTTGTCCTTTTATATTTTGTCCAAAATATAGAACATTATACATTACCATGTTCATGACAGTTTATAACAAAAGAGGCACATGTCCGTCTTTCCGAGGTCTAAGCCGAGATCGTCGCTGTATAGAACAGTGCCGTTCTGACAGAGATTGTCGGGGCAGAAAAAAATGCTGTCTAGTTGCATGTAGCCGTGTATGTGTAGAACCTAGAGTACAGGAGTACACACGTAAGGACTTGATATGATATCAATATGTATACAAGTACTTAGCCAGATTTCTTGTAGCTATCTATCCTGATTTATCCAAAAGTGTATCTTGCATCATAATGTATATACATGTATATACATTTTTCCTTTTACGTACTTCTGCTGAAATGTATCTTGTGATATCTATATCTGTCTTTCTCAGCGGCACATCTGCTGTGTTCTATCATATTTATATATATATACATGTATATCTTTCCAAGAAGTACATTTCCTGAAATATATTTTCTTATATAAGAAAAAAAGGAAGTTATGAGTGGGAAATTATTATTGGCACACGACAGCTGGGAATCTAACCACAGGTCTCTGGTTTGAAAGTTCAGTAGGGTATCCACTACACCACAGTAGTGTATATATATATATATTCTTGGAAGTACATCTACTGATATATATCCAGGCTTTCCTATACGTCTGAAATACTACTTGAATAGTACTTTTGAAATAATACTGGTAATTTATCTAAGCTAGTTCTAATTTTGTTATTGTTGTGCGACCTCTTCAAAATGGCCCCTGTGTAGAGCTGTAACCTCTTTACAGCAACCTTTATTCACAATAAATTAACCTCTATTAAACAACTTCTATCAGCAACAACCAAAGTCCTTGTCTTCAAAAGGATGTTTACAAGAGGGGCGTCCATAGTTTTTGACATCTCGCCACTAGCCTCTCAAACTTGTAGGTTTGAGCCACGCACACATTGTTAGATTCTACATGTGAGAAAGCTATCCAGCTAGTTTATGGAAGGTCAGTGGTTCTACTAAAGTGCCGGTTAATGCCTGAAATAATGAACAGATGGGCAACTGAGGTCTTCCTCCACCAGTCAAGCTTGAAAGTCGCTATATGACCTATACAGTGTTGGTGCGATGTAAAAAAGGGGTGTTTATAGTGGTGGTACATGTATATCTCAATCTTGTCTGAAATTAGTTAATAATTACATGTGCAATCATTTGCAAAACATACATACTAGTAACTAATTAGAGGCTGCCTACTTTTATAATTCTTTTTACATTTATATAATTATGTAAAATCCTGACTGTTCAGAAAATATATATTTGTGCAATTATTAGAGCAATCCTTGTTTTATATGTTTTTCTGCACTTCAATAATACTTTTTTTCTGCACTGAAACAAGATTCAAAGATTCATTTTTTATTGTAATGGAGAAATGCCATAAAATATGAATATGATTATTTTTTAACCAAGTAGTTTTTACAAAGACTTATGTGACCAAAAAAAGTTTTTGCAACAATTAAAATTAATATTTAGATTGCCAACATGCACTAAAGAACATATAGATAGAAATCTTGTCAAGTAGGGCATATGTTTGTAACATTTTTGTTACCAAATTAGATCTTACATTTTTTGCATTTACTAATATAAACGACAAGTATTTATACCTGTAGGTATTTGCAGCCCATGGATATTTTTTGGTTTTACATACAAAATGTATAAATAAATACCATAATTATAAGCCATAAGTGTTAGTACATTTCTTTATATGATTTAAAGGTAGGGATGTACCTGTGATAGCCCAAAATTTCCTTTTTACAAACATTTTTGTTTATTTTATGATACATACTTTTTGACATTTTGATGGAAATTATGAATTTTCACCTGAGATTGAATTCTTGGCAGATTTCTTGTTTCAAACTTATAGATTCTGCTTGGAATATATAGCTTTATTTGTGTGTTTTTATTCATGTTTATATAATCATGTAGAATTAGATTTAAATTCTTTCTTTTTGCTTTGCATTTTTAGTGGTCCATTAATTTTATAATAAATCTTATTAATTATATTGATTCAAGAAAAAACTTTTAACTTTTATATATTTATATATTTAATTGTTTCATTGTTTTTCATAATGTTAATGGAGTTGATGTACTGAATAAATAATTAAGAAATCTTCTGCCGAAATTTTAATGTTACATTAAATTTTATGAACTTGAAAATTATTGCTAAGATATTTATTCAGAAATTGTACTTTAGAAATGGCATTATTTAATGTATATTCTCCCAAAGAACAAAATATGAATAGATTTTTCTATAACTAATGAAAGAGCAAGGCATATATGACTGGTTTTGCCTTATTAAGTTAGGGAAGTTTTCGGGATTTTTCATATAGACATATAGGCAAAATTAAAACTGTTCAATAGAATTTCTTTAAACTTGGCATGTTGTTAGAATATGATAACAGAAACATTTTAAGCGAAAAGAAAATTGGGGTCACCGTTCTCAATTTTGAGTTATCTGCCCCTGAATCAGAATTTTCTACTTATTGGAGGTCATTTAAAGGGTAGATAACTTATACATACGTATATGAAATTTTGTTTTTTACTTCTGGATAATGTTTTTTTTTTATTGTTGAATACAATACATAATTACATGCAATTAATCTATTAATTTTTTCAATGAAAGTAAAGGTACTTTTAATTCATAAAAAATAGGCCAATTTTTAAGAAAAAAATGCACAGGTTAAGAGAAGAAGTGGGAAAAAATCTATCCACTCTAAATTGCTCTTGAAATTTTGCATATTGACAAAGACGAAAGGTAAGCTTAAAAAAATAAGAAGAAAAAAAATGTATTGTTTCGCTTCATTGTAAATTATCTGCTCTTGAAATTAACGAAAAAGTCCAATTCAAGGGCAGATAACTCGAAAATGAGAACTGTGACCCCAAATTTTTTTCCAATTAGAATGTTTCTATTCTAATAACATGCCAAGTTTAAAGAAATTCTATTGAACAGTTTTAATTTTGCATATATGTCTATATGAAAACTCCGGAAAACGTCTTTAAGCCTTTCACAGGTAGTTATAATTGGTCAAATGGTTATATGCCTCTTTATTAGGGGAATCTATGGTTTGATTCCTACTGAGGTCACATGCATTTACATTGATAAGAAAACTAGAACTGGTTAGAAACAAGTTGGGTCAAAATTTGTTTGAATAAACTTTTAACCCTCTTATGTCAGGAATCTTGGGCTTCATTCCTACTGGGGTCACAGTCATTTCCATTAACAAGATACTGGTACTGGTTAGACTGGGGCTGAGTAGAGAGTTGTTTGAATGAGCTTTAAGAGATAAACACAAGTCAAGCTGTTATAGAAATGTTTTACCTAAAAGACTATAATGTACACTGCACTACTAGGATATGTATTAATGCCCACACTAAAGGGTGGGGGACAGATGAATTTGCCTGTCTGTCTGTTGTCACACTGTCTATCAGTCGACAGACAAAATAGTGGAATGAGGGGTCATCTGTGTCCAGTGGACACTTTTATATTTATCGGGTATATCTGTAACAAATCACTGTAACCTAGACTTTCGAATCATTTTAGTATATGTTATATTCTATCCTGGAACAAGCAGATTTATATAGGAACATAGAGATATGCTGTATAGTGAAGAATGATAATATTTGTATGTATATAGTAACAATATTTGTGTGTAATATTTGGGTAAACTACTGAATTATACCTGTTTATGTTTGATTAATGTCAAACATAGATTACTTTTGAGTAAAATTTTATAGTGGGTAGTCAAACAGAGACTTCCTTTTATATAGTCCTAGTTATTTGCCTTGATAATTTGTGAGTAGTTTACTTTACTTCATTAGTTTACATATAGCGTAAATCTATATTATTTAGTATACTGGTGAACACTATATATATATTTCCCTTTCATATTCTCGTTCCCATATTCTTTTCTGAAAGCAAAATGATAAACACCAAAACATGTGGATTAAAGCCGAAGTGGCTCCGTACTCAACACATGTGAATAACTTTAAACTGAAGAGTTTATACACACCAAAATAAAAAAGGTGATGAAACACAAAAAATAACCCATTTTCCAAGGTAAAGTAAACCCCTAGTTTCAGGTGATAAAGCTGAGACGGTGAATAAACTGCAGACCCTTATGTATGTGATAAACAAAAAAAGCATAAAATTGATACACAATTTATTGGTTTTCTGACATTTTCACAGGTCCGGCTGTAGTAAAGTCTGGGGATTGCCCAGCAAGGACAGACAAGGAGGGTTTACTTGGTGCTTGTGCCCCAACTTGCCGAGATGATTCAAGCTGTTCAGGCAACCAGAAATGTTGCTATCATGGCTGTGGTCTGCGATGTGTCGACCCAGTTGGTAAGTAATAAGTTTGTTTTATTCTTTATAATTATATAGTCTATGGTGTACACTATTCTCTTTCCATATCTTTGTCTGAAAGCAAATGATAAACACTAAACATGTGATAAATGCAATGTAGCTTGTACTCAACACATGTGATAAACATCAAAAATACATGTTTATAAACCAAAAACAATTTATACCCAATAGATTTTATACCAAACAGGTATTATAAAAAAAAAATTAAAAAAATTATGAACCCATTGCAAGTAATAAACCCAGGTCAGATGATAAACTGAGAGCAGGTGATAAATGCACACTCCAGTGTATGTGATAAACTTTAAACAAAAAAGCATAAAATTGATACAGGATTTATTGGTTTTCTGACATTTTCACAGGACTGGTTGTAGTAAAGTCTGGGGATTGCCCAGCAAGGACAGACAAGGAGGGTTTACTTGGTGCTTGTGCCCCAACTTGCCGAGATGATTCAAGCTGTTCAGGCAACCAGAAATGTTGCTATCATGGCTGTGGTCTGCGATGTGTCGACCCAGTTGGTAAGTAATTAGTTTGTACTGTTCTTTATAATTATATAGTCTATGGTGTACACTATTCTCTTTCCATATCTTTGTCTGAAAGCAAATGATGAACAGTAAACATGTGATAAATGCAAAGTAGCTTGTACTCAACACATGTGATAAACATCAAAAATACATGTTATAAACCAAAAACAATTTATACTCAACAGATTTGATACCAAACAGGTATTATAAAAAAAAATTGATGAACCCATTGCAAGTAATAAACCCAGGTCAGATGATAAACTGAGAGCAGGTGATAAATGCACTCTCCAGTGTATGTGATAAACTTTAAACAAAAAAGCTTAAAATTGATACAGCATTTATTGGTTTTCTGACATAATTACAGGTCCGGGTGTTGCAAAGTCTGGATTTTGCCCAGCAAGGACTGACAGGCAGGGTTTACTTGGTGCTTGCGCCCCAACTTGCCGAGATGATTCAAGCTGTTCAGGCAACCAGAAATGTTGCCATCATGGCTGTGGTCTACGATGTGTCGACCCAGTTGGTAAGTAATCAGTTTGTACTGTTCTTTAGTAGGTTGTATGAAACTTGGATCAAACAAATACCAAAGGTTGATTTCTTTGAGGTATAGATGGCTGTTATTTAAAATTTGAATCTAACTAAAGCCAAAAATTAAACCCCACAGACCAGTGCAACCAAAAATATTGACATGACCTTAAGTGTTTAAGAAATTTTCATTCTATCGATAAAATATAAAAAGAAGTGACTTATCATTATTGTTGTCCACCACCTTTTCAAAGAAAAAAGGGGGATATAGAAATAGGCTCCGTATGTCCGTCCGTCCATTGTCTGTCCACACTATTGAATAGGGTTAGAGGGTCATCTAACTGTAAACAGAACAAAAGAGAACAATCGAGTTCATTCCGTAACAATAGAGTAAGGGGCCATTGGCCCTCTGATAAACAATAGAAAATAACAATAGTAATGGCCTCTTAATTCGGCCAGATCCATCTTTCAATTACTTTCGGCCAGGGAGCAATCCATTTTCTGAAATGAGGACCGTGGCCCCAGACAGACGATGTGTTGCACAACAACCAGACCCTACCTCCAAGGTTGGGTCCAGGTCAAATATTTTCCAAAACCACTTTTTTTTAAAAATTTCAAATTTTTTAAAAAGGGGATTTCTCACAATACCCAAATTTAATCCCTTTTTAACAATTGTTTTTTACCGCCCATAACTTTTTCAAAAACAAAATAAAATTTTAATTTCCTTTGCATTGTCGATAACACCTGCACCCTCTTTAAGGGCAAGGTAAAACTTAGGGTCAAAAAAATTTTTTTTTTTTGTGTCCCCCCTAGAAATTTTCATTTTTTAAGGGGATTTTAAAAATTTTTGGCAAAAAAATCCAATAAAAAATATGAAGTTAACCCTGGCCCCTACCTCCCAAGGGCAAGGTCACACTTAGAGGTCAAAAATTAACAGAGTTTGTTATAGAGTATATTTTGTGTCCGATCTAGAACTTCTTCATAGTTCAAGGGATTTTGAAAAATTTGGCACAAAAAGTTGCAATAATAATATGTTAAGTGTAACACCTGCACCCCTACCTCCAAGGTCAAGGTCACACTTAGAGGTCAAAGGTTAACAGAGTCTGCTATATGGTCCTGTCCATAACTCCTATATAGGTCAAGGGATTTTTAAAATACTTGGCACAAATAGTCACAATGATAAGATGATGTGTCATGCATATCACCTGTGTCCCTACCTCCAAGGTTAAGGTCACACTTAAAGGTCAAAAATTAACAAAGTCTGTTATAGGGTATATTTTGTGTCCAGTCCATAACTTTTTCAGAGATCAAGGGATTTTTAAAATACTTGCATAAATAATCACAATGATAAGACAATATGTCATGCACAACACCTGCAATTTTATAATATTCCATTACTTACAGCTGAGGAGCCATACCAAATGAATGCACCTGAAAATGTCCAGGGGTCCACTTTATCAAGTACGACAATCATCGTCACATGGAAAGATCCTTCCTTGGGACCTGACCAGCGTATCAGAGATAATAGATACTACACTATCCGTTACTTTAGTTACGGCTCTGGACAAAACGCATATTTAAACACTACAGATTTAAGAGGGTATCTGGACGGGCTCAGACCTGGCACAGAATACCATTTTGCTGTGCGTGTCAATGATCCGCCATACCTGAGTGAGTGGAGCGAGATTGCTAGAAACACAACCACACAACTTGGTAAGCATATAATTGTCAATGTGCTGATTTTCAAGGATTTCTGATAAACCATGGAATCAGAAAACTTTAAATATCAACTTCCTGAAGAGTATTTCTAGACATTTTTTACATCACAAATATTGTGTAATAATGAAATATCTATGAAATTTTTCTATGTATCTTCATTGTAAGAAGCAATTTTCTCTTACATAAATGATATGATAATTTTAACATTTTTCTGTGTGCTTAAATTGCTTTTGCAATAGATTTTAATTAAAAATCATTTTCTCTTGTATAAGAAATATTAACTTCATAACTAAGAGTCTACAAGGTTGACCCCTTGAACTAGACTGGCAATAATCTCAGGAAATTCATCCAACCTACTAACTTTCATTTTCTTAATGTTCAGTAAGGGAGCAGTGGTTTGAAAGATTTCTTTTCTTTCTCTCTCTGAGATGAAATACATGAATTTATTGTGAGTTTCTGATGGAAGTATAAAATATTATACTTCATATTTAGGATAATTATCTCTTTCCATAGGTGATTTATATTACATTTTCACATTTTCAAGGTAATATAATGATTTCTCAAGCATTACTAATGTGTTATTTGTTTCAGTTGTTGCGAAAACCGGTGAATGTCCGGTGATTGACTCGGACACGTTCGGAATCTGTCTGGAGGAATGTCAGAATGATGCTGATTGTACCGGAGTTCAGAAATGTTGTAATAATGGATGTGGACAAACCTGCGTTAGCCCTCTAGGTAATTTGAAATAATCATGTACACTGTAGTAAAACATTTTAATAAGCTATATGTGTGAAATGAACATGCAGATTTGACAAAGTAAATATTTTATAGCTTATAAGTCTAAAAAAAAAAAGAAAAAAAAAAGAAATTTCAAAACAACATCGTGCATTTCAGGGTATGATGTGTGTAGCCTACCAAAGGATCCAGGAAGTTGTTCAGACTGGGAGGTTCGTTGGTTCTTTAACACAGAGTTACAGAGATGTGATCGTTTCTGGTACGGAGGCTGTAATGAGGGAAATGGTAACAATTTCGTGGATGATAAAGAATGTCAGAGACAATGTACAGAAACACAAAGTAAGAATTATTTTTGTATCGTATAGGAATGTGAAGTGAACACATTTTATTGACTAAGTTTAAAGCAGCCTTCAGATTTTCTTAAGATTAAATATGTTATTTTTTGATAAACCCCTTTCATATAAATTTTTAAATCAAGAGTTTTTGATGGAAATGAAAAAACCCCCAATTTAAAACTAAAAAATAAAGGGAAACCCCCTTTTATACCTCATATTTACTGGGTCTTATAGTAATAAGTAAACCCACAATTTGTTTCCCCGTCTTTTTTTTTTAGAAAAAGAAAACACTGGCCGTTTAAAATATCTCGGTTTTGTTAAAAGGGGTTTAAGGGTAAAATGCATTTTTCCAAAAATAAAATTATAAGATAATTCATGTAGTTTTTAAACAAAACAGAAAGTTTTTAACGGGGAAAAAAAAATGCGGCCGCTTTAAAGTTTTTGGTCATGATTACTGGATGATTTTACAACTTTACTTCAGGGTGCAACATAGTCTTATAAATCATTCTGAATACATGGAATAACTCTGAACAATTCTATTTATCTGAGGAAACTAGACAACATTACTTCAAGTTAATTACAATTTGATTTGTTTCTATTTTCTTTTTCACATTAATTTTTGCTAAATATGAATTATTGACATGCCCAAATTTGCATTTGGAACTTAAAATGATTTTGATACCAGAAATTAGATTTCAGCAACCAATAGACTGCTTTTAGATTTAAACTGATTGGCTCTGTAGTTCTGTATTGGAAGCTTAAGCAATCTTATCTTTGCCACTAGAAATACAGTAATATAATATAAAATAATATTTTGTTTTTTATTTCTTAGTCACAACACCACCTCCACAGACAGAGAGGCCAGCATATGATTGCAGACGTTCAGTATATCAGTGTTGTTTAGATGGTTACACTCCCCGACGAGATGCTCAAGGAACTAATTGTCCAGGTAACGAGTCAGTTAATATTTGAGCCTCGTCACGACAAAACCAACATAGTGCGTTTGCGACCAGCATGGATCCAGACCAGCCTGCGCATCCGCGCAGTCTGATCAGGATCCATGTTGTTGCTATCAGTTGGGTTTGTAAGCGAACAGCATAGATCCTGATCAGACTGCGCAGATGCGCAGGCTGGCCTGGATCCATGCTGGTCACAAACCCATTATGTTGGTTTTTGTCATGACACGGCTCATTTTAATTCTTCCAGGTCAAACTGACTTACATGTCAGCAAGGTCAGCTTGCAAATGTACAAGGTCATATTATATATATATATATAAGACGTTTTACTGTATAAAATCTTAGTGTTATGTTTAATAGTGAAAGTACCTCAAAATCTTTTCCTACCTGAGGAATCATGTTAGGTAATACAATTTAGCATAATTTTCAATTAGAAAATAAGCATTCAAGACATAAAGAATATTTTCTTGTGTACTCGTATCATAGATTTTACAACTTCAGAACCTTTTTATTTAAAGCTTTTCCTAACTTTCCATCAGTCTAGAACCCAGCTAAGAATAAATTCTATAGACAAAGAAGAATATTTAGTATGCGTAAAAGGCTAAATATAGAATTATTTTGTAATAATAGAATATGACAGAAGACCAGAAGGTGAAACAGTTGTACCAGCCATTCCAGGTCAGAGCGTAACATTGTCATGTCGCTATGGTAACAATGTCACATGGTATAGAGAAGGGTAAGTCATCCATTATCATCATTTTTTTTGTTTTTAAGAGAATGAAATTTAGAGTTAACATTTTGATTATTTAGAGTTTTCAAGTTTAAGTTTATTTGATTATCTCAGTATGTGTACAAATACATAAACACGAGAAAAAGAATCCTAAGTATATATAAAACCATGTCTTCATATAGACACAGATTGTTAGTATAATTATAAAAGCAACAAGGAAATCATTTGAAATGGAATAAAACTGTGCAGTTTGAAACTAAGATCTTCTGTATGCTTGAGACTAGTAATCTAAGGATTGCTGGCAGCATTGGTTCTGACAAGTTAGTCGGGCCCACCTAAATATAAATATTGTCTGACATTTGGTATAGTATACCATAGTCAGGCCAACCTGAATATTAGTAGAGCCTGACTAACCTATAGTATAATCAAGCCAGCCTGAACATTAGACAGTATGACTTGAGCTATAGTGTAGAGTTAGGCCAGCCTGAACATAAATGCAGTCTGATAAGGCTCTGTTCTGTTGACTGCTTAGCATTTTGATACCAATTCCTTATTACCACAAATTGACAATTCCAAATTAAAGCAGGAAAAGTCTGTAACACAGATTTAACAAAGTAAATGATGATAATTCCATTTTAATGTGATTTATAAAATTTTATTGTGTTTGTTTGTTTGATTTGGGTTTTACATCACACCAATACAGTATTTGTCATATGGTTTCCAGCTTTACTGATGGGGTAAGACCTTAGGTGCACACCTGTGAATTATTTCAGGCACAAACAGGCACCTTAGTTAAACCACATTTGTTAAACTAGCTGAAAAGCTTCCTTACCTGAAACAGAAAGAATCCAATGTGCCTGTAAAGATTCGAACCCACAGCAGTGAGGGGCAAGTGATTTGAAGTCAAAGAACTTAACCACTTGGCTAAGGATGCCCCTTTTATTTTGTAATCTGTAACATTGTAATTTGTTACAATAACAATATAAATATTTTTTTTATAAATTGACCGTGTGTTTTCATTGCATAGAAAATTGGTAGAGTCAAACAGCAGACGTCGAGTGAACCCTGATGGTACTATTGAGGTATTTTCTGCCACCATTGAGGACGATGGCATGTATGCCTGTCACGTTGGTTCTCCAAGTCGTCCTACAATATATCAGTATATGTTACAAGTTAGAGGTAAATATTTTAATACTTATATATCTACTTTTAACTACACATTCTTTTCATAAAGCATACAAAGATACAAAAGATAAAATAATAAATTTTGCACATTGTTGTCATCTTGCTGATTAAAACTTTTTTGAGATTGTTGCTACAACTGTTCTAATTTATTTTTCCATTACTCATTTGAAAGTACAGGTGCAATATTTTTTTATAACAGATTTTGCAAAATTTGTACAGTTTCAAATTATTCTCACAGAAACCACCTAAGATACTGTTTCAATGGACTAGAATAATTTTACATCTAGAAAATGTACTGTGCTTTACTGAAAAAGAAATGAAAGTTTATTTGATAGTTTAAAATACTGATCATAATAATATCTTATTATTTCAGTACCAATTGGTATCTTGCCTGGTCCAGATAAGATAATGGTAAAACCCAACCGTCAGGCTTTCTTACATTGTGAAGTATATGGTAACCCAAAACCTTCCGTTAGCTGGCAGAAATCATCTCAGTCTGATATCAGAACCGGTGGCCGGTACGAAACCTTCAGTAACGGTACCCTGCTCATACGCCAGGCCTCGGAAGCAGACATAGATAGTTATACTTGCACTGCTGATAATGGTGTTTCCACACCTGTACAGAAAACAATCAAACTTGAACTCAGAGGTATTACATGCAACTCTTTACCATATGAGCCGCGTCATGACAAAACCAACATAATGGGTTTGCAACCAGCATGGATCCAGACCAGCCTGCGCATCGGCACAGTCTGATCAGGATCCATGCTGTTCGCTATCAGTTTCTCTACTTGTAATAGGGTTGGTAAGCGAACAGCATGGATCCTGATCAGACTGTGCGGAGGCGCAGGCTGGTCTGGATCCATGCTGGTCGCAAACCCATTATGTTGGTTTTGTCATGACACGGCTCATATTATTTTTCAGTGTAAATAACCTGACATCTGATTAACTCACTAGTGGGAACATTATAATGTTCTCTGGAACTCAGATTCAGAAGTACTAATACTGGGGAAGGCACATGGTTTTTGAAGGACAATTTAGTTTACAATTATATATGTTAAGCTATTTAGTCCCTCACCTATATTTAATCTAATTTATTTACATTAGTTGTGCTATAGATAGAAGTTATGTGAACTAATTTTGTAAATGTTAGCAATTTACAATTGATATAGAACTTTTAGGTTTTTCCCAGCTAATCCGGGTGTACAAACAAACTTTTACAGTTACTGTTTCGAAAAATCAGCGCAACAGGTTGACTAATCTATTGTGAATGGTTGTGCACCGTGAAGTTGTAACAGTAAAAGTTTGTTTGTACTGGGGGATTAGCTTAGAAAAAAACACATTTGCCAAGTTCCAGATAACATTTATTACAATGTATAAAAGTGGGTTACCTTCAGCTGAATGTTTGTCACCTGACCCTCTTCAAATAGTTGATTAAAACATGCATATCATTTTATGTGTGATATAAGAAATGGTATGAACTTGAATTTGTTAAGAGAATTTCACTCGAACTTTTAGGAAATTAGTCAGACTATACATGCTGGTAGTCACCGTGATCAGTTTGGGTTTGGTTAAACATTTTAATAAATTTCCAGTTTGGATTACTTCTCATAGAAAAGCTGAGTGTATATTAAAAATTAATATAACATACAAACTAGACTGAAATTATATATATAATTATACTTTGTTATGTTAACAATCTGCAACCAAACAGTCTGTTTTATATGTTTTATATCAAATATGCTTTATACTATATTTTTTCCTTCAAAAACTTTCACATTTTTAAAGGTAAATAAAATGGAAAACTTTAACTTTTGATCTTTTCTGCAACTTTCCAATTATGTTTCTGTTTTCTCCAAAAAATTGATCTTATAATTTTTACAGAAATGTTAGTGGCTAGAATTGAAAATGACAATGGGCGTGTAATGGAAGGTGGGCGTATAAAACTTACATGTGAGGGGCGTGGCTACCCAACTCCCACAATTACATGGGAGAAGATGGGACGTCCCCTTCAGACAGGTGGTAATGTGTTCATAAGTAGTGATGGCCAGTTAACAATCAGGGATGTGTCAACTAGAGATACAGGGTCATACTCGTGCATTGTCGCAAATTCCGAGGAAAAGATCGAAACCTCTACATCTGTACAAGTTGTACCTAAAGGTTTGTAGAAAACACATCAACAGTTTTAGATCAATCTTGTTCAGGAAACAAATGCTACTCATTGCTGAATAATTTAGGTTGTCGATCATTTCAAATGAAAATGTCTATACGCTCAATTTGTTTAAGAAGTGTTATCAGTTCATTTAACCCTTTCGCTGCCAGAGGTTTATTGTTTTATTGTTCACCTATTTGCCGGAGGATTTTCTAAGAAATTACTATATTATTAATTAATATAATTATTATTATTTGTTATTAGTATTATAATAATTATATATGTTTCTAAATCTGTTAGTATAATAATAATTATTGTCGATGGTATAATTTTCTTTATATTTATTATTATTTTTATTATTATTATTATTAATTTATTATTATTACTATTATTATTATAGAAACGGCTAAAGCCGTCCATATGGCAAATACGCCGAAAATAACAGGGACAGCTTAAGCCGTCCCTATGGCAGTGAAAGGGTTAAAGGTTAACAAGTTAGACAGAAGTTTTCTTATGTTGTATATTCAGTAGTGCTTTTTTCGCAGTGGTTCTTCCAAAATTGATTACAGTAAGATCTACTTTAAATATATTTTGACTTTGTATTTGAGATTTCTACTTGTTGATTAATCTCTAATCTCTTTTCTATTTTTAGTAATGCCAGATGATAAGTGTGAAGATAAGACCTCACTGATGAAATGTCGCCTGATTGTCACGGCACGTCTGTGTGGTTATACCATGTACTCTAAGATCTGCTGCTCTAGTTGCAGACGACACTTTAATGGAGAATAACTCTCAAAGACTTATGATTACTAATTTTTGGTTTATTTTTACACAACAAAGATAAATTATGTAATACTCCTATAAGCTGTATACCAAACTATTATTTATGATCAGTTAGATGTATAGTACTACTTTAGCGTTTATTGTACCATGTTTATAGAACATGTCCGTATTATAAACGTTCATTACATAAAAAAATGAGGCATTCTTGTTTTGTCATAAGGTTGTATTGTAGAAAATAAAGGGAAGTAAATGTGCAGCAGACAGAAAAAAATGTGCTTATTACAGAAATAAAAGCAACAAATAAAAAGTTTAGTGACTATGGACAAATTAAAACATCAACATTTGTTGTTGTTTTTTTGTCTTAAGTGGAATTTAAACATTTTTTAACAATGTTTGTGCTGTTTTATTTTTTTCACAGAATGTATATTTACGAACAAAATCACAATTTAGTGCTACCCCAGACATTAGTGGATAACTTGTACAGAAACTATTTTAACGTAGCTTTTTATTTTTTTTCATTTGTTTCATTATTGACCATTTTTGAGACTTCACTTTGTTGTTTTTGAATAAAGTTAAGAATTTTATTTTGTTTTCAAAGGTGCTAAATACTGATCTCTTAGAACAAGGAAATAACAAACTTTTATCTTTAGGAATTTCTTGAATGTTTGTAAAACTCATGACTAAATCTGAAACCAGAAATTGATTAGAGATTAACTAATGACCTCTTAGCACTTACTAATAGAACTTAGAAACACAGGGAGTTAAAAATGATAATCATCCCTGCGGAAACATTTTAGTCAGTATTCATTACATTCATTTTCACAACAATTTTTTGTTTTGTTTTTTTGTTTTCAAGTTTATATGGATTAGTGGCAAAAGGCATGTCTTCAAATCCATGTTGGATGCAGACAAGTTCCTTTTTCCTTTAATTCCATTAAATTATATATTTCATTACGTTTAGTAGGATTTTTTTTTTTTTTTTTAATTTTTATTTTCCTCTAAAATAGTCATAATGTTTAATTTTTCTATGCATTTATTATTGTGTAATATTGTCATGTATATAATAATATATAGATTAGATGTTTTATACTGTTTAAAAGTCGCTGTGAACTCTGATATTGTACTGAATGTGTTGTCCATGTTCCCATTTTTGTACTTTTATGTATATTTTAATACAGCGCTTTTTTTATGACTTATATTAACATTGAGGGTTTATTGAGCTCCACAGAGTGGTGAAACATTTTAATAATATGAACATTTGTTCAATATTACAAGGAACAAATTGACCAAAATATAATGTGAAAAAATTAATATAAAGCTGTAACCAAAATGGTAATTAAAGAATTAAATGTATGCTTGAATTGTATATCCATACAACTTTGTTTCAATGGACTTTTATGTCAAGAATAATACCTCTGTATAAAGTTCATTGCACTTCTTTTAATACAACAAAGTTTGCCTTTATAAGGAAGTCACTTTTCTTTGAGATTATTTTGCAAAGGGCTTGAGCCATCAAAGGGAAGTAAGCGGGTATATACTATGTAACTATTGATAACCTAAATATTCAGGTTTGGGGAAATCCCTCAGAATAGCGATTTATTCAATGACATAATGACTCAGGGATTTTGTTAAATGTGGGAATTTGTCATAAGTAAACCAGTAGTGGCCCACTGTAAAAAAATTGTTAAAAGTCAATAAAAATGGGTTTAGAAAATTTTTAATTATAGAAAAGACATTAAAATACATCGCTGTATTGAAGCTTTCTATAAAAAGCATCATTTCTTTTTGCTACAAATGCAGCCAGTGATTATATCTAACTGACAAGTCTGCAAAGTTAGAGAGACAGTGATTCGCTAAAAATTCCTGATATTGGGCTTTCTTGTATAAAAGTTACATTTTGTACACAAGTATTCCAATCTGCTCTTTTTGCATTTCATATAATTCTTTTACAGGATAATGTTTATATTTTGCTTTATTGCTTAAAAATGCCTAATGCTAAATGTGTAAGTCAAACACAGGACTATGTATGTGTGTAATGTAAAATATGTGTACACAGCACTGTACATGTTCATGTTGTGTTAACATTACATAAGTGTAAGCATCACTGTATGTGCATATGTTACATGTATATAAAGTGTGTTTCACTACATACAACCTGAGCTTCACACATGTGAGTACACGGCACTAAAAAGTACATGTATCTTCTTTTTTTTTGCTTTTTATTACTAATCTTGTTATATTTTTTTCTAACACTCATTCGCTCCATTATTTGTGATATGCTGGGATAGGTACATACACTGTTTGTCTGTCTGTCTTTAAACATTGTGTTTTTCAATCACAGCCGACTACTACATGTTTATGATTTTGCAGTTTTAAAGTTACTGTGGATGTAGACGTCACAAATTTGAATCAAATTTTGCAGCAGATATTGACATATACATTTATACCATAACACATTTTATATTATAACCTGATAAGAGTTTGACATGTCAAAATGAAAAGGCAGAAATAATAAATTACCAAATGGATTCTATTATAATTATGTGAAACCTTACAGAAAAAATAAAAATAAATAATGGCAGTAAACAGTGTATGTTCTTACCATAGACTAACTGAAACATTCCAAATGGGGTAAAAGTGTTTTTTCATTTTGACATAACTTGTGAAAGCAAACCGAAGTCTTGCAAGCATATTTTTCTTTATTGTTTTGTCAGAGTGTTGTTGCATGCATGGACAAGCTGGTATGAATGCCTATTAAATGTTATGAAATCCATGTAAATTGTTCCTCATTTCTGCTTCATAAACAAAATTTCTTCAAATTTTGACATCAAGATTTATTGTCTGCATAATTCTGCCTTTGTTTTACATACATGACTGCTTAAGAGCCGCGTCACGACAAAACCAACATAATGGGTTTGGGACCAGCATGGATCCAGACCAGCCTGCGCATCCGCGCAGTCTGATTAGGATCCATGCTGTTCGCTTACAAACCCTATAACACGTAGAGAAATGATAGCGAACAGCATGGATCCTGATCAGACTGTGCGGATGCGCAGGCTGGTCTGGATCCATGCTGGTCGCAAACCAATGATGTTGGTTTTGTCGTGACATGGCTCATATATTATATACTATTTCTGTATTTTTGGCTTGAACAGCAAAATAAAAAGTTTCAAGTAACCTCAAATGATTTACATGTGACTTACTTTATAATCAAAATTAACTTTTCAATGATAATTCTAGATTTTCTTTCCTCTATAATGAAAATCAGAAAGGAAAAAACCCTACTTCATTTGGCACCTATGATAATAAAGCCATTTTTTAGCCCAGCCTTTTCAGCATTTAATTTGCTTTCAAAATATTGTTTTCATGACAAAGTGATCTGAAAGAAAACATTACATTGTACTTGAAAATTACATACTAATTACATGGTTTATGGTGTTTTATTTCAAATACAAAAATTTTATGTGAAATATTGTGTTTCCATGTTGACTTTAGCTTATTGCAGTGAGGCAGAAATGTTAATATAGCACAATAAGGCCAGTCAGCTATGTTTATATTATTGTATGTACCATCTCCCCCTTTTGTGTAATAAACAAGTCCTACACTCTATTATCTTCATCTGTTTTTTTCTTTTATATCCTGAATCCCTGGATATTTGGATAACAAGGAAGCTGAATGAATTTAAAACACAAGATTTCAGTGTTGTGACGAATACTGTAATACTATGTCTTCCTTCATCAATATGTTAATATGTTAGGTCAACAATTATTCTTAATGAACTGTTCTTTCCTCTGTCAGTCTATATAAAATACAATCTGGCTGTGTAACGGACCATATTTGACTGGCCAGCAAGGTTTATAATATCGCATTCTCTTCCGATAATGGGCTCCTAAGGCAAGGAATTGCTTTAAATGACATTCCTGCTTTATTGCCTCAACAGACAGTATTTAGAAGTACAGCACAAATTGAAATGTACAAGCTACTACAATATATTTCTTAAATTTGTGAAAATTAATATTAGATTAACAGCATTCAATAGAACATGTTTTATTTTCTAATTCTTAATGTAAACCTCCCAGGATGACAAAATATATCAACTGATCATGTGAATGAAATGCCAGAAAAAATAGGTCTAAAATGTAAACATGAGTCACATAGATGTTGCAAAAACACAAGACATTGTGAGCATGATTTGTGGGACGTTTGAATCATAAAATGACTAGATTCTATTATATAGACTGAGAAGTTTAAAAGGAATCTCATTGCTGGATTTATTCACAAGACAAAAAATCCATCATTTGATCAGAACACAGAACAGGCTTTGGGTGCTTAGTTATTCCAGAAGTACATGAGGATTTCCTATATGCAACCTCCTGTCCACAGTCAAACATATTGACTTCCTTTAAAAACAATCTCCTTGGTTGATTATAAGAATTATAACATTTGCACTCACTCCAGTAACAATATTGTCTAAATCCTGCAAGGGATCCACCAATCTCCACGCAGTGATCTCCCCTTAATTCTTCGGCATAGATCTCTGCCACCAAGGTCCCGATATATCAGAATTTCTGATATACTATATTTTTTCAAAAATTGTTTTATCTACTGCTTTTATCTATTAGATAAGTTCTTTCTCATTTATTTAACAATGTTTACGAATAAATAAACAAATAATATGAATATTTAGAAATAATTTTAAAAATTATGAGAATATTTTGTACGAGAAAATATTTTGATATTTTATATTTTTTAGCTTTCGAATTTATTTTTCGTTGTTTTGTGTACCTTTGATAATTTTTTGATAAACTATATCGAACGTAGGCACTAAAAGTTAAAAATAAAACAGAAAGAGAAAAATGACGTTAGATTTTCTATGTAACGGTCAATATTTACATTTGAATTTCGACGTTACGTCATGTGACTTTCATCATCATGTGACGTCTTTGAAGGCAGTGATTACAATCCTGCCAAGGGAGGTAATCACTGTGAGGCGTTTGGGGATCCACCTGGAGGGAAATTTTTAGGAGAAAAAGGTTTCAGAAATTATGGTCTAAATGCTAGTGTTGTATTGCTTTGAAAGTTGTACATCTCATCTACAATTGGTGTTGTACAAATAAATCCTACACTACAGTCTGTTGATGTTTTAAATATAAGTTACATATCAATGTACATATTGTGCCTGCTGTAGTGCAGTAACTACTCTCATAGTATTGCCTTTCAATTGAGGAAAAACAAAATGTACGTAACTAGCAACTAGTATATTTTTTTCATTTTATTTCGAGCATTTTGTCATCATTATAGTTGATACAACTATGATATATAAATATTGCAAACATTTGCAATCATTCAATTAAAACAACTTCAGTCAGTCACACATTCTTATTTATATTTAATAAATAGCCTTAATAAAATAAAAATTACATGTATATCGCTGATTTTATAAAATCTATACACATACATGTATATGAAAATACTGATTCTGAATTTTTCAGGAAAATGAAATCACTTAAAATATTATACTGTAGTAAATATCTAACTAAAGTTTTCAAATATTAGCAATTGTGGACTTGAACATTATACTGTTACAAGTTATTGTTTTTATGTTCAGTGATAACAAGACATTTTGATTTCACTCTTAAAAAATCTGACCCCATTACAAAAATATCAAATGTTTTGATTTTATTGAATGGCAAATTCATATTAAGCACCTTAAAGATTTTTTCTAATCTGTTATCTTACATATTCACACTCATTCCAGTATAAAACTTTTACACTTAAAAATCCATTTACAAATAAATAAAAATAAACATATTTACAGTTTTAACATTCATACAACTTTGTTGAACAGAATGAAATGTTTTTATTTCCAAGAGTAATCTCCCTTTGTTCAGTTTGCCTTTTGCAAATGGCATTTACAAGTTAAAGGGAAAAAACTCATGAATAAGTTACATTTACATGTGAATGACTAAAATGGAAATTAACAAAAAATGAATAAAATATGATGAATGAAATAATTGCTAGATTCAATGAAATAAATGATCAATGAACTATACACCTTATCAAAAATGGTATAAAATAAATATACACTTGCTCATATAAATTTACAAAAGACAGACATTAAAACAAGTAAAAACTGCCTATTTAAAGCAAAATAATCCTTATCCATACTGGTTGCAAGAAAATTTCAGCTAAAAATATTTTAACAGCTAAAAATGTACAGAACTTTGTGACAACTAATTTTTTCTGACATGAAGGACCTATATCTATATACAGGTTAAATTCTTAATTTTTTTCTATTTATAAATGAAAAAAAAAAACAATTGTGACAGAGGCACAATTCTGCAATTACCATGGTAACACAAATCAAGCTACCAGTACTGTTTTGAATCAAATAGGGAAATATATCTGGTCTTTCTGATCATTTATAAACTAAATGTTGAATATTGGATAGATTAACTTGTTTAAAACGGAACTTTTTTGTATTAACATGAATAACTTAGTAAATTTTTAACTGGTTCAAAAATTGATGTAGTGTAACCAATTCCATGTTCTGTTTCAAAGAATATTAGCCCTTTAAGCAATAGGTCATAAAAATTCTATACATTTTGTAGAGACTATATTGTTGGCTACATAACTTCAGCACTTTGATATGAAAACAAATATGTAACAATAAACAAGTAATATTTTTAACTAATTTTTGGGGCAAAAGATAAAATTCCAAAAACTAATTTTAAAAATTTTTCTTTTTTTCTGAACTATTTATGTGACAAATAAAAAACCCAAACCTAATGAAAATTGATTAAATTTAAAAATTGGGGAATTTGTTAATTTTTGTGTGAAAAAAGAAAAATATTTCTTTTTTTTACCTTTTCCTTGGGCTCCCTTTTAATTTTTACAATTTTTTAAAAAAACAATTAAAAACAACTAAAACTAAAAAGTTTTAAACTTCAAAAATTTAATTTTATAAATTTTAAATAATTAGAAAGAAAAGTTTTTTATAAACTGACAGAAAAAGAAAAATCAATTCAATAAAAAAACAATTTTTATTTTTAAAGGTTTTTAAATATTTTAACAAAATTGGGCAAGGTTATTGGGCAACTTTCCGTCTTTTTTTTACCAAGGAGGAAAATCTCAAAATCCTACAATATCAGCTTATCTATCTTCACAAGAAAGAACTGATGTGCTTAGAAGATTATTAAACTTAAAATGGTTTAATGAAACAAGAATGTCAGCAACCTAAACCATAAGGCCACAGTTTTACTAGCATACAACACAATCCATGGATACACAATCCATTAAATCATTCCATTAAGAAATCAAAATAGAGTAACAAAAATTACTATCTTGCAAATTGCAGCAGGGGTCAAGGAGAAAAAAATTACCAAAAATATAAACAAAAAAACAAATACCGTATATATAAAAACTTAGAAAAAGGCTGATTTATATAACTTGGACTGAAAATACTGTTTAACAACCATATTCTGTAATGAGATGAGATTCGTTTTTACTTAATGAAATCCAGTTATGTGATTAATAATGCCAAAAATGAAATATAAAATGTATTATCTTCTCCTTGTTCGCCATCTCACAAACATTGTTAAGATAACATGGAGACCTTAGATGTAGGTGAAGACATAATGCTATAAGTGTTTAACTCCAGGAACAAACAGGGAACTGAGTAGAACCACTAACCTTCTATAAGTTAACCAGATAGCTTCCCCCATATGAAATATGTTGGGGGATTTCAACCAACCAGACACTAGAGGTCAGTAACTTCAATCAGCACTATTTCTAAAACTGTTTTAAAAAAATTGCCTTCTTTACCAGAACTTTTCTCCAACATCTATTTTTCAAAATTTTCTAAGCAGTTATTAATGATTGCTACTGAAAAAAATACAAAAATAAACAAAGTTGTAAAAGTACAAAACTATTAACTATAAATTCTGTGGAAACGTAAAAAAGAATAAGCAAAGTATAAATTAAAAATCAGCAACGTGTGTTCTTTCTAAGGCTTGAAATTATATTAATACAGTTAATTCACTTCAAATAAATTTGGTTTAATGTTGATGGTATACATTATTTTATATATTTATTTGAATCGATTTTTAATTAAAAAAATGTAATGAAAGTTTATGAGTAGGTTTGCTTATGAATAATTTTTAAGTATTAATAAGTATTTAATGTAAATGCCTTTTTATACATCAATGATAAAAATCTGAACACAAAAATCTCTTTATGGCTAAAACAAACATATTACAACAAATGCCCTTATTTTGTCAAGCCTTCAGCAATCTTGTACTTAATTACGTACAATCTGAACACATTTACATACTCCAAGTAACATTTCAAGTAACATATAACATGTTAAACAAATGCATCAACAGACATCTTCTGTAATTATCCAACAATTTCTTTCACATTTTCTCAAAAGTGATATTCTCACCAGTTTTGTAGCATGGACTAATCCATGTCTTAATTTCATCCACCGGTAGACCCTTTTTTAAGTAGCACTTTTTATTACAGTAAAATTTGAAAATCCTAAATATAGATGTGTATACATTCATACTGACATCAACTGGTCAAATATTGATGACTTTTCTACTTTACTAGTGAAGAAAGACTTCAAGAACTGATGCAAACTTGCACCTCGCACGAGAATTACTTTTTTTCCTACAATTTTACGTACTCAACAGTTGTGATGGATAATAGATCTTAAGTTTGCCACCCTCACCAATTTCTTTTAAAAACTCCAGTTTACATTTATATAATAATAAAATAAAATTGATTTACCTATCTTAAAAAAAAATTTTTTTTTGTCCATTCTAACAAAAACGTTGGAAATTGTATACTCTCAAAATATTTGTCAGAATTTTACAATAACTCAGCAGCTGGTTGAATTTGCTTTTAATTTACAGGAAACAAAAAATAACCTGAAATGTCAATAATAAATTGCCCTAACAACACAGTCCATCACCATTAGAACATAATCCTACACAATCTCTCCATATCTCCATACATTGCATACAACATGCAGAAAAACAACTGATATCTAAAACAATCATATTTCCATCAAATTATCTACCCTTGGTTGAATGCCCATTTTAACTTAATTCCTTTTTCCTTCTTGAACCAACTTCTTTTCTCTGTTTTTAAGACCTCTCCATATATTTGCATATATCACAATATTGGAAGTGTTGTATATATAAATATCACAGATTTGCTATGGAACTTATATCAGGTAAGCCCTATCCAACCATTATCAGCTAGGAAGCTCATGATTCTCCGACGATGTGTCTTGTCCATACCACTAGGATAACGTATCTTTACTGGATAACCGTTCCGCCGATGTAGGTAGTCCTGTTCACAAAAATCAATTTTTTAATTTAAGCATTATCAAAGTTTTGATCCCAAAATTTAATTTTCAATTTTAGCATTATAATAGCATTATATAGTTTTGCCCAGATCTTTAATAACATATAATTAAAACTTGTCAAAACAAAAAGTAATTTTCAACAACAAAAATACTGTAATTCATCATTTGTATTTACTTAATTAAGATTGGTTGTAAGTGACACTATGTGACTAAAATTGCTGATGTATGGTTGCAATTTTTCAACTTAGCAAGTTATGGATAATCCAAGATGCCCTAATCTGCATAAATTAATGCCTAATAGAAGCTGACACAGGGCTAAAACCACCAGAAAAAAACAACAACAATACACAGATACTATTAAATCTGAAATAAAATTCCATAAAACAGTGCTTCAAATTCTTTTTGCTGTCTTTTCTGTTTTTTGTTGTTTTTGTTTTTTTTATCAAAATTGGCCTATTAATCAGAGAATGTTTATTAAAGAAACTGTTTATTCTGTGGTTATTATAAACAAACAGACTTTAGTTACCTTCACAATACAAGTTTTTACAGTCATGTAGTTGGCAGGAGTCATACCTATTGTGTTACACAACTGAAAAATATAAATAATTTCCTAACAATAAAATAATGTAACCAATCATATTTTCTTTCACTAATAAAGTTTTCTTTCATAAAGAAAGATATATACATAAGACATTTAACCTTTAGAAAACCATCTTATGTTAATTCGACATACACTTCATGTGAAATTACATATGAATATAACAATTTAATTGTAAAGACTCAATTCTAAAATGTTGTTTTTTAGAAGAGAAAAATAATTTCAAATCAAAATGAAGATAAATCAAAGCAATTGTTTGAACTTAAATAAAAAAAATAAACACAAAGTCACATCAACAGTTTTGAACGCTATACAAACAAAATTGGCGTACTCACTGCAATGAAAAACAAACTTACTGGTTACATGGTTTGCCTTAACAAAAGGCTATGAAAACAAAATGTCATGTGAAACATTGTGAGAATTCCAATTATATATTCCTCAAAAACATTAAGACTAAATGCAATCACCCCAAGTAACAATAAGTAGTATTTCTCAAAAAAATAATATTGTGAAGTTACAAATCTGTAAAACAAGTAAAAACAGAAATTGCATCTAAATGAAACTAAAAGTAAAAGTTATTTTTTTTTGCTTTTGAACATGTCAGAAATGTTGTGCCAACTTTTCATTTCACCTCTCTCCTTTTTTTGTTTCCTCACTTAAAATATTTATCATAATCTTTTGAAAATTTGACATTTTTCACCAACTTCTAAATCTTACAGTCAGAAATAATCAGTATGCCCCACCAGTGACAAAATCATTTCAATTCACAAATGTGGCCAGAGTTCAGAACAACTATTGCTGGATGGAAAACCTTAAACTGCTTATAAAATTGAAGCTACTTTACAATTCAACTCTTCATGAAATCTTCTGCTAATTTAAACATTTAATTATTTAAGACATCCGTATTTTTGGGGTTTGGTTTTACTTCGCACAAAAACATTATAGGCCATATGGCGGCTTTCCAACTTTATTTGGTGGTGGATACCTCAGTGTGCATTATTTCAGGCACGAAAGAGCACTCAAGTAGAACCTCTGTAGTTCTGTAAGCTAGGTGGATAGCTTCCACACATGAAAGAGTCCAAAGTCCCTGTCGGGATTTTAACACAATGCAGAGAGGGGCAAGTCATATGAAATCATTGGCCTTAACCACTCAGCCACAGATGCCCTACACATTCATGATTGATCCACAATTGTTCCATTTTTTTTTTTGGGGGGGGGGGTGTTTATGTCACATAGACACAGTATAGGTCATATTGCGACGGTCCAGCTTTACTGGTGGAGGAAGACCTCAGGTGCCATTATTTCAGGCACGCATGGGCACCTGAGTAGAACCACCGACATTCCGTAAGCTAACTGGATAGCTTCCTATCATAAAAGAATCCAAAGTCCCTGTCAAGATTCCAACCCACAGCGGTGAGGGGCAAGTGGTTTGAAGTCAACGACCTTAATCACTCGGCCCTGGACGCCTCAATTGTTCCATTACATATCCTAGTAATTACACACATAAAATACTTTATTCTTAAGAATTCCAAAATCTAGACAGTGTCCAGGAAAAGTTTACAGTAAGAAATCATAAACCACTCAAAAAAGAAACTTTAAAAATGTTTAATATGGTACCTTTCTTTCTCTTCCTGAGAGGAGGTCATAGCCAGGACATTTTGACATCTCCTTTGTCTCAGTTAAATCTTCGTCATCTTTTGATCCTATAAATAAATCAACCTCATAAAATTGTTGTTTAAGTAATGTTTCTAATTGCATTTCAATCATTAATTGCTCTCAACAATTACAAAGTTAAAGAATTTCCAACCCTAGCATAATATTTGTATTTCATACCATACACCAAGTTGAAAAATAGCTTCTAATAAAAATACTTTTAGTGTTTCACAACAGTCTTCAAGCAAAATTCTTGAACCAGTTTTTAATATAAAGTTTTGATGGATGTTCAAATAATTATATTTCAAAAAGTGTCCTTAAAATTAAAATATACTATGGTATATACCATAAATAGATTGGAAAGGCTTATAATGATCAGAAAAGAATCAGAAAGATACTATATATAATAGAAATGCCCTTACCGCTTTCGTCGATGAGTATATCTAGTTTTTCTCTGCAAAAGAAACAATAAATGTTACCACCAAGAACAACAAAATTCATTCAACAGGAAGTCTTGTAATCTAACTCTGATTTATATTTATTTTAATACATTTGTATACTAAAATTTTTTTAATCTTTATTTGGACAAAAATATATGCATAGAACTTTCCTACTTTCTTTCATCATACTGTATTTAGTATTTATTACCTTACATTTATGCGAGTTCAGATAAATACTCGAAGCAATTAAAAATTGCATAAAATGTGATGATAGGTGGCTATATTTGGATTCCATCAATTTCATACATACATAAGCATGCTGCACAATAGATACAGGTGGAAGTATCAATACCGAAAGTATAGATCACATAACAAAGACATTGCAGGGTAGAAAGTAGATTTATCACATATAACAATTCTCTGTAATTTACTCAATAAATATAAAGCTAAAGCAGACTAGGATAAAACCAAGACATTCAATGCCTTGGTATATGAGACTTATGAGGGAGAAAAATGACCTGATAGCAATTTATTCACTAAGAAAAGGTCAGTTCATGCAGTACACTGGGGGATTCCTTACAAGGCTATATAGAATATAATTATATTACTAGGTTTCACAATATTGAATAAATAAATCTCCTGACATATATAATATGATAACAAACACCCAAGCAAGGCAGACAACAGTATCTCGTTACACATTACTTACTCGTCTGCGACATTTTTTGAAGCCATTAAAAGTCGTTTTCCTTGGGAAATACTGCCCTGTATAAACAGAAAAATAAAATATCAAATTTCACTCTTTCAAAATAATAAAGAATTCAACTTTTACTTCTATAAAAATAGTTTTGGCTATTTCTACAATTATAAATTTATTCAAAGTAACTATCACCATGCAAGTTCAATTTATTCGCCTTATTCACTGATTCTAGTACCAGATATACAACCAAAATCACAACATAATATCATCATATACTTTAAAATACAAAGATATATGGAAGGTCATATCCTTGATTAATATAAAATCAACTGTAATCCTTTTCGATAAAATTACAGAAAAAGATAACAACAGACAGAGTAAAGTTCTCCTCATGAAATAACGACCATACATGCTTCTTGTTACCAATAAATATAATGTTTAAAACAGTTTAACAAGCCACCTGTTAATTGTTACTTTGCAAACAGTGATGTGAAAATGGATGATATCAATTTGAAATTTAAATTACAGCTACAAAATCGTAAACTAATGACAGTTTGAATACTCACAAGCTTTTTTAATTTCGATTCTTTCTTTTTCTCTTCTTTTTCAATCTTTCCTTCTTCAAACTTTTCAACTTTCTGCGAATGATATAAGAAAAAAAAACTTGTATTAAAAATCTCTTTCTGAATATTTTTAATAAATCGCGTATTGTTGAAAAAATGACTTGTTTCAAACGCTCCCGAAAAATATAGGTCAACCGTTTATATTAGTAACCTAGCCAGTGTTTTTCAAAACTGTCAAGAGTCTCTATCAAGGAACCAAAAAAAACCTACATGTATACAAATGAGGTTTAGTTGTGAAGCCTAATTTTATAAAGTGATCATGCACCGAGTTCATGGGAGACTTTTAAAAAAGCATGAAATAAAATATATACACATTAGCCTGTTTAAAAAATATGCTGGAAAAGTATTACAACAACAAAGACTTACGATGACTGTAAACTTACCCTCTAATTTCGTGATACCATTCTTCCGGCAGTGGAACAAGTCTTTGATTCGGTTTTTGAGCTCTCTTTCTTCTACAAAGTAAAATGGTTGGTATGTTTGACAACAGGTTTTTCATTTCATTAATGTCCACAAATTTCATCATAATTTAGTTATGAATCAAATTTTACTCTGATTGTGATGATGGCTATGACAATTCAACAGCTGTAGTGAGTACTCTGTTTTCATCCTAAACATTAAGCATTGACGAAACTGCTTCGTCTTTGAAGTTGTTCACTTAGCAGTTATCTACCAATTGTATAGTAAACAACCTGAGGACATAAACCCAATGAATAGTGTCTTCAGGACAATATACAATGCATTTATGTAAATTGTGCTATTTTACATAAGTAAAGAAAACAGCTATCCATGTAGTACTAGTAAATGCACTCTCAAAGTTAAATTTGCCTTGGACACTATGTCTCTTTTGGTTATTAAGCTTGCTTTGTTTTGTTTTTTTTTGGGGGGGGGGGGGATTGGTTGTTTTTTTAATGGGTTTTATGTTGTACCAACACCAGTATAGGTCATATGGTGACTTTCCAGTTTAACTAGCGGAAGAAGACCTCAGGTGCCCCTTTGTGCATTTTTTTAGGCGCAAGCAGGCACCAGAATGGAACCACTGACATTCCATCAACGCGCTGGATAACTTTCTTACATGAAAGAATACAAAGATGCTGGCCCAGCTCAAACCTACAGTGGTTTGAAGTAAAAAAACTGTAACCACTCAGAAATGGATACCCGAAATTAAGCTTTAAAGTCAATGTAAGACAGTACCAAGATAGATGGTGACATACTGGCTCAGTCTACAAAAATTTTTAAAATGTATTTGTTTCATTACATTAACTATGTAATTATTCATTAACTCTGTGACTGTCATTTCTTAGCCAGTTATGACAATACAAATATTTATTTATAAACCTATCACTAGTAATTGTAGTGATTGACTATAAATTGGATTATCCTCAAGTTTTATATTTAGTGCTGTTTTCCTGAAGTACAATAAACTGAAAATGTAAAATCTCAAGCCAGTGTAGGTAATTAACTTGGAATTGTTTTAATATTCATTGGATGTATAAATTCTACCCTCACTTCAATTACTCATTTAAACACGGTAAATTATGGATTTTGTATTATAGTACCTATTTAAAAACAAGCATGACTGAATTTTATTGATTACAAGACTAAAAATTTTCATTGTATACTATATGAACAATAGACCTAATATTACAAATAAATTGCTAGTAATGCCAATTTTGATAATAATTTTACAACATAAATTTACAACAACAAAGCAATTTACTAAGTATACACAGATATGTCTTATATAAGCTATCTTCACTTTGTCACACAAAATTTGTTCAATTGTCCTTCACATTTGGCTCTCCGAACTTTTTTTCTTTTATTTAATGGAATTTGAAAAATATGTTTATATGTATAAAATTGGTCACAAGTTTTCACTGAAACTACAGTGAAAGAAAACATCCATGATATTTCCTAAAATATTTTCAGAACATCATTCTATCTAGGTGCTTCAGCTTTAATTAAAAATAATACATTACAACATCTAAGTGTATAAACATGTAATGATGTTTCTATCAAGTTTTTTTTTTCTTTTCAGCAGTAAAAACTATATTCAAAATCAGGTGACTTAACTGACCGTTAAAATTTGAATATTTTTTTTTATATTTTCATGCAACTGGCACAAGTCATCTTGCAAATTAAGCATTATTTTTCAACAAGCTTGAAAGCAGTATATCACTTAAGTTTCTTTTTTAAAGATAAAAAGTCAAAAACATACCAATTACCAATTAAATGAATAGTACAAAATTTCTAATGTCAAAAATCCAAGATTATATCCAGACAGTTCCTGATAAAGTACACAACTCATATGCTGTGAATAAGACAACATGAGTGACTACACAAACACTATACATATACAACAGTTGATGACTTACTTTGATGGTTTTCTAGGAAGTCTTCATGTTCTTTACAAGAATGACACTGAGCAAAAGGTTTCATTTTCTCCTGGAATTCTCTGAAATAGTTTCATACATTAATTACATACCTTCACACATAGCAAAAGAGTACTAAAAGTAGGTATTTTAAAAGCTGTCAAAAGATGGCTAGAGCAGCTTTTGGGTTATAACACAGGGTTTTACATCTTTTTGATATTTTAGGGGTCCAGTGGATGCACAGTCTAGAAAAGTAGGGGTCCAGGACTAAATTTTAGGTGTCCAAACTTATATTTGTTGAAAAAAACTATGAAGACCACTCAATTTTGCTCAAAATTAGTTATTTACCCTGCAAGAAATATGCATGTATATATTGTACTGTTTTCATAAGTAGTACATGATTTCAATATCTGTTATCACTTTAAATAAGTTTGTTTTTATTATAGCCCTGTACAATAATATCATGTGCTTTTTCCAAGGCTTAGTCTTTGAGTGGTTGGAATGTCATGTTTTAGTAGCATATTTGGTGATTGATAAGGTGATTACACCAACAGACTGAAAACTGTACTGATCTAATAATTCTATTAATATTTTAGCTATACTAGTAAACACACAATAGACGTCTTTAGTGAGACCAGTCAACTAAATATGTTGCGTTTTAAAAAATATCATATAACAACCGCTTTTGCACCTCCTCATAAAGTAGTTTGCCAAAACCATTATATTTATTACACCAACAATAATTGACATACCCAGTGACTTAATTTCTATAACACTATAAAAATAAGTTTGCAAAAACCACAGCCTTTTTTATTATACAAAATACATTCGCCGAATCGGTAGATAGACATTGGATACGCTAACCAATAGTAATTGCCTGTTATAAATAGTCCGTCTAAATATAGCCACAGAAAAACCAAAAACAGCTACCTAAAATAGATTTTACGGTAAACGTCATCAGTAACTGTAGCTTGCACGATAAACGTCATCAGTTTCTGCAGCGGGCACTTGCCGATAGCATGCGCAGTAGATTTCAATTATGTTAATTTCCGAAATGAACAAACAGTATTTTCTACTTGCTGTATTAGATTTTAACTGAAATTTTGCGAGCTTTAGGAAGAAAGAGATAAAATCATGTCCGGTCAGAAACAATAATATCTATCGTCTAGGATTATTTTTGTGCGTACACTTGACGCAAGTGGATAACTTATATGCGTACATGTCAAAATTTATGCGCACAGGGACGCAGAATTCTGCGTTCCGTACAACCCTGTAACAGTATTTGGATACACAAATTCATTAGGTTTGTTAGTACCCCGACCTAAATTTAACATTGCAATATAATATAAAGCAGGGTAACAAGATGATAACCAAATAAAGAAAGTACTATAATTATTTAACTTTTTTGTATTTTCCAGCCAATTAATAGAGGGCTCCCATTAAGTTTCAAAATTTGAAAGTTAGGTATTGCAAAATGTCTGGCACTGGAAATCACATTATATTGGTAAAGAAGAAAAAGCATTAGATTTTAGAAGTCACAATAAAATTAAGTGAATAGTGAAAATGGAGTTGTTTTTCATTAAAAAAAACTGATAAAGTTTCTTACCTGTCTTCTTTACTTAATTTCTTTTCTTTTTCCTTCTCTTTTTCTTTTTTAACCTGTGGTGATTTAATGGAGGGTAGTTTGGCAAGTTTAGCTCCTGGAAGTGCGGCAGCAGCGATGGCCGCTGCCTGGGCGGCTGAAGTTATGAGACCATGTTCACGTGCAAATTGTTTTCTTCTGTCCCGCTCTTTTAATCTGAGTCTATATCTTTCTACCTGAGCTAATTTTACAGCTAAAAATTGAAAAAGATAACATTCACAAATTAGTCAGTAGGATTTATATCAAAATGTAATAAACATAAAACTAGCTTACATGTCTGTAGTTCAACAAACTACAATTTTACAAAGAAACATTCATGGTCACTTCTTCCCATGACACAGTAAAACCAGAGGTTCCAAAGCATCAAAATGTAATTTTATGCGGATTAAAATTGAAAGGAAACTTTCGACCAGAAAAAGGTTGACTACCAATACTTGGTACCAGTACAGTCAAGAACTGTAAAGTTGTACATATATGTACCATTATTTCTAGGTCAAGGTAACTTTACTTACATCTCCAATAACAAACTTACAAAAGGTTGACCTAGTTTCACAGAAATATTGGCAGTAAATGAGTAATACTGTTTTGATTCTTTCTGCACATTTACAGTTTTCTTTGTTCACTGTATTGTAAGTCAAGGAAGCAAAAACACATATGCATAGACACTGATGTGTAATTGTGAATGTTAAGTATGAATAAAACTTTAAAATGAAGAAAAATACATGGAACTTTAGCAATCTTGCTTGTTTTCCTCTTCACAGCATTTCATGGGCCTGATTCTTTACAAAGCAATCATGTTTTCATGTTATAGTGTTGAGACATTTTGTTAGTAACTGCATCCTACCTTAAAAACAAGTACAAAATACTAACTAAAGATAGGGACTAACTTACCAATATCTAAGTCATCATCATCATAATTGATCATCAGACTACTGACTAGTGTCTCTGCCTCATTATCATGTTCCTGTAAATATAAATAAGAGTCATTGAACAATAGAAGACACAAAGGAAAGGGTAAAAAGTTTTTAATACTTTTTCAAACTAGATTTTAGTGCAGTCTATGCGCAGAATAAAGAGAACAAAATTCCCACACAAAAATGTGCTGGAAAAACTTATCATATACATCAAAAGACTTGCCTATAATGCTATATTATCAATAGTAATAAAGATTTCAGACAACTTAGATAAAATTTCTTTTTAGTTCATAAATACTTTTTTTAGTAAGACAATTTTTATTAATCAGAAATGACAGCCAGTACAAGTGTTCAAATATGTTTTTACTTACCCGTTCAAAGTCATCTCTAAGTGGCATATAACCTAGGGCATGTTGCTCTTGTATTGACAACTCTATAGGACTGATAGGGGTGGATATACTGGGGGAGAGAGGCCCTGAAATGTATAATAACAAGTTTTTATTTACTTCAATACCAATAACAAAGATAAATCATTTAAAAACATGACAAGAACAAAGGTTTATTGAGAGAACTTTTCATCTGTATCAAAGCAATTTGCTTTTAGCAATGAACAAAATCCATATATTAACATATCTTTGCAAAGAAATACAAGTGTAACTGATTTTGATTACTTGCATAAACTCAGATGGCATAAAAATAATTTAAATTCTACAAATCACATTAATTTCTTGCATCTTTATCTTAATAGTGAAGCACTTCATTAACATGTTAAAAAGAAACAGCAAATAGTCAATATGCTTCACAACTTGATACAATACAGAATATTTAAAACTAACTCTTACCATCTGGACAAGTATGATCTGTCACTTTAGGAGTAGGGTCTGTCAAGAACGTCACTGAAAGTAGGTAGAGAAAACATTTAAGTCACTGCAAAAAATGGTGTTTATTATTTGCAAGATGGTTAAGCTCAAGGGCATACATAGTATTTACTACATCATTTCTCACTCCATAGCCAACTAGAGTAATACACAGAGGATAATGAATGAGTAGATTTTATACTAAATTTATTGAATGAGTTGAATAAAATCATACTATGCTAGTCTCTGCAGTGCATAATATTTTTTTTCTTCAACGAGTACAATAAATTTAGCACTGAATCTACACAAAAATAATATTCTATTTATCAAATATATAAAATAAGAACGATTTTCAACTAAAAAGACTTAAAGAGTAATTTTTCATTGATATTCCTAAAATCTAACGCTAACACTAGTGCACTTTAATGCTATGTTTGTATATTAACGCAAAAGATGTTGTGTCAAGTGTTAAGACACTGGTGTGATATTGTTATTAGTAAGTGACTTTATTACACTTCTGTGCCGTGGTTTATGTGATAAATGTAGTAATTGTTCCAGTACAGAACTGATCTTTTTTAAAAACTTTCAAATGTAACTTTTGAATAGGTTAATCATATCACTTATGTAGCTCATGTAAGCGATGAATTGCCAATCAAAATAAAGTGAACTTTGAAAAATCTTACCTTTTCCTATATTGCCCTTGATAAAGTATAAACTATAGTGGTATTCACTTTGTTCTGGACTTTTACTCTCAACATGGTTTGCCACATCCTCCCTATTTCAAATAAAAATCAAAATACCAATTATTATTCTGACAATTGGATAAAACATGTATAAAATCAAATTTTAAAACAGTATTATTAAAATTATTACTCAAAATGACAAAACTGAATTCAACTTAACTGAGCCACAGATGACAGAATATTAACACACTTTTCAACATGTGATTAAAAAAGCTAAAAATGTACTAGTAGTGAATAGCTTTTTATGTCTTTTTTTTACAATAACAGTTAAACTGTAAATTTTTTTGAAACTTTAGAGGATTTTAACCAGTCTGACCCATTGCCACATCACAATTTTATTACAACTGTAAAAATTTGTAAAAAAAATCATATATAAAACTGCATTATAAAGGAAGCAAACAGCAAACGAATCAATAAATTATAAATATCTATATGATTAATAATTCGCATTATAATTTACAACCAAAAGAGAATTATAAAAACATTACCAATTTCCAAATCCATACTGTTCTACAGCATCTAAAAGCATAGTTTCTTCTGCAAGTGTCCATGGTACCTCGCAGTTGAATGCACCAATAATTGGACCAGTCTGTAACAATTTCAAAACCGATTCCTTAGATGTAAAATAAATTAATTTATGCATCTCTCCAGTGTTCTCAAATGAATGCAAATTGGCTATCCAAATACTTATAGTTATAGGAAGTGGCTAGCCGTACGGGCCCGTACGGCTAGCCAAAAGTTCTAGCCGTACGTGACTCACGTACGACTAGCCAGGACACACTGTATTGGCTAGCCATACGGCACTTTTCAAAAATATATGGAAGGCGAAAGTGCATATGTTAATTATGACTTAAAGCGAGGATTTTAGTCAAGAATGTTTACTTTTTAGAGATTATTCGACGCATTGACTACAGTAAAGAATGTACTTTGTCATCTCAAGACGTCGAGAAAAAAATAGCGTTTGGTTGCAGTTAAATAACATCAATTGAAATAGTTTACAAAATTTTGATAATAATCCTTTTTTGTTTCATTAAGTTTAATTTTTAAATTGAAAAAAAAAAAACAAAAAAAAAACAAACAAAAAACACCGAAAATAATTGTTGTTGGGCTCTGATAATTGCGTCAATTATATACCGTCGGTATGTAGAAGTTTGTCCATCGTCCATCATTAAGGAAAGTTTGCATTATTAAATTATTTTTCCTTTTCACCGTTTTTTCTAATCTTCTTTTAATTTATTTATTTATTTATTCCCCTCCGATCATTAAATATTATTTATTCGATCCATGTGCTTAATTAACAGATTTAACAATTCATCTTTCATACAAATAATAAGCATGAAAATTATAAGGACGTTATAACATGCAACTTTGACAAGATAGATTATACAACGCTTACTCGTATTCATTTTTTTTTTTTTTTTTTTTTTTTTTTTGCAAAATTGCGGAGCATCTTTTATTAAAGTGAACAAACTAGAACAAATGCGGAGATTTGATTAAAATCGTTGTTTAAAGACACAAAATAACATATGCATTTTCGACTTCCATATATTTTTGAAAAGTGCCGTACGGCTAGCCAATACAGTGTGTCCAGGCTAGTCGTACGTGACTCACGTACGGCTAGAACTTTTGGCTAGCCGTACGGGCCCGTACGGCTAGCCACTTCCATAGTTATACAACAAATATAAATAGAATACTGGGATAAAACATCTATAGTAGTTTCGTACATATGGTTTTGATGCAATTAACATTCATTTGTAATCAGTTGGCTGTTGACTTAGCAATGGCTAGAAAAGGTAGATATAATTTTTCACTGCTTGAACCATGGTTTATTTTAACAAGTGGTCTACTCCAGCCCCAGGATATACATGTACTAATGTAGCTGAGGATTGACACAATTTACTGGGAAACTGATGGTTTTTTGTGTAAATTGTTATTACTGGTGATGACTCTAAGAAACTGTGACAAATCATACATTTATTTCGACAAAGGAAACAAGCAATATAACAGCAATCAACAAAGTATATTGGTATTGTTTCAAAGTGAAAGTAGGACAGCATATTTCATCACTTACAGAAATATTGTACTGATGATCTCTCTTGTGGTTTCCTACTTCAGCACCCAAGGAGAAACACTGAAATAACAAAATCAAAATGCGTTGATGCAAATATTTCTAGCAAAAACGAAGGTAAAAAGACATAACAATAAAAATTCTGCAAAATATGTTACTATATTTAGTAACAGAACACGCCGTGACGTCATACCTGTAAACAAAGGTCGATATCGGGGCACTCGATGCATTTTATTCCATGGCCGGAAATCTCGGATTGGCAATTATTGCACACAAAAACTGACATTCTAAATTGTTCTAGGGTTATTTTACTTTCATCTGGCGTAATCGCTTCTAAGAAATTCAAACGAATACTAGGATTTTTTCATGAAATTATCGACTAGCCGCATCTTTGTTCACTTTCCTTACGCCGTGACGTCACTAGATTCCCATAAGTGTACATACTTCCGTTTTGTGACTGTTTATTTTACAAATCGTGATATTCGTTACAATAATGTGAACAGACCACTATATATTTTGTTGCGTGATGAATTATTTTATTGTACTAGTTAATCGATCAAGATCTATAAATCATTTAGAGAAAAAATAATCTTTTGCTGAATAGATAAAAAAGTTTATCACATGCCTTAACTTAACCTTTTACCTCATATAGACGCGTTTTGACGGCTTTTCACTCCTTTCTAAAGCTTGAAATGAAAAAAAAAGAACTATTTTGGCCCCAAATATTTGTTTGAAATGTTGTTAAAAAGTGATAACTTTATCGGCGGCGCCTCCTAAAGATTGAAAATATCAACGCAAACTAGTGATTTTTGGCAATTTTGAGATTTTCCCCGTTGCCATGGTAACAGGAAATTTAAGATTGAGCATGCTAGCGTTATAAAGGCTATGGTCCAGTCAATACTTGTGCCAAGTTCGATCAGCTAGTATTGAAGCATTTTTTTATAATTGCATAGCAGTTTGAACTTATAACAGGAGGCTTTTCATTGAAAATAGACTTTTTTTTCACAATATGGTCATGCAGAAAAAGCTAGGCTAAATACATCGCCATATATAGAGCTCAGTGTGGAAATTCATAAATTTCCTTTAGTAGTATCCGTCTTACCAGTATAAAATACATAAATCATTATCACAACAAGATAAGATTAGCTCTATACAGTATTTTCCTCTTACTGTATTTGTATTTGTAGAGGATCACCTATTATCATTCTTGAGAAGTTGTTTAAAAGTCGACCAAGTTTTTATTTGGAAATAATGTTTATGCAAATACATATTTAATTATAACAATACCAATTCATTCATCATAACCTCTCTAAATAAAATCAGAGAATGTATTCTTTTAATACTGTGAAACAACAATTAATGTTTCGTGTATGTTTGTAGTATGGACTAAAGGGCATCACAGAATATGCCCGAGTTACATGCCGATCGTTTGAGATAAGCATCAGCTCATTAAAATATTCCACATGTAGTAAAGTGCTCGGTTGATCTATTAAGAGAGAAATATACATGTACAACTGTATATACATGTATCATTTACTGCATATTAACCATAAACCTAATGCATTTCTTAAATATACCTGTCCAACATTCATTTTTGTAACTTTGGAAATATCATGACATGGCAATTTAAAGTCAGTCAGCCAATAGTAGACAGTAGTATAACGCCTAGTCACATTGCACGCTGGCCTGGCTGTAACTGACGACAAAAGATAATTACTTTCAAAATTAATCCACCAAGGCAAAGGTTAATCTAGATATACATGTATACACATGTAATATGCATTTCATTCACATAATGTTTCGATTAATTATGTGGTACTGATGATAATATTCATGTTAATTTACGTGTGTAAACACACGCACGCATACACGCACGCGCACGCAAAAAGGATTACAAAAAAAAACAAGAGGGCCATGATGGCCCTAGATCGCTCCCCTGACCCATCAACCGCATCCAAGCAATGTCTTAGACAAGCATTCTGACCAAGTTTGATGACAATTGAGTAAAAAATGTGACCTCTAGTGTGCTAACTAGGGTTTTCCATATTTGGGCAGTGTGACCTAGCTTTTGACCACAGGTGACCCATATTCAAACTTGACCTAGAAATCATCAAAACAAACTTGTAGACCAAATTCCAGGATATTTGGATCACAACAGTAGCCACTAGTAGAGAGATCAAATGATTTTCTATTTTTAGCTCCTGTGACCTAGTTTTTCATCAGATATATCCATATTTGAACTCCTCAAAGCAATTAACTAGACAAGCAATCTGGCCAAGTTTGATGAGTATTGAGTCAAAATGTTACCATTAGAGTAAGGTTTTCCATATTTGGACAGTGTGACCTAGTTCTTGACCCCATGTGATCCATAATCAAACTTGTCCTAGAAATCATCAAAACAACCTTTCTGATCAATTTCCAGGATATTTGGATCAAAACTGCAGCCACTATTATATATAGAGTGTTAACAAGATTTTTCTATTTTTAGCTCCCGTGACCTAGTTTTTGACCCGAGATAACCCATCTTCGAACTTGACCTAGAAATCACCAAAACAACCTTTCTGACCGATTTCCCGAAAAATTGGATCAAAACTGCAGGCACTAGAGTGTTAACAAGCTTTTTCTATTTTTAGCTCCTGTGACCTAGGTTTTGACTCGATATGACCCATCTTCAAACTTGACCTGTATTTCATTGAGACAAACATTCTGACAAAGTTTGATGATGATCTAACCAAAAACTGTGACTGCTGGAGTGTGAACAACCCGATTTTTGACGCCGAACGACGCATAACGCACGACGACGGACGCCGGTAATAGCCCCATCACTATACCTCACATTGACCACTTCGTGGTCAGATGAGCTAAAAATAGAAAATGGTTTGGCACAAGTTCTATCAATATAAGCGACCGGCTCTCCTCTCCAAACAAAAAGCACTAATACGCACACGCATAAAGAAAATAAATAGGATATTTCAGTCAATTAGTACACAATTATGTATTTTCCTCAATAATTGTGCAAATTTTGAAAAATATGCATCCCTTATTATTTTGTTATATAGAAACTTAATTCTTAATTAACAAATGATAAAGAGTTTTGATCCGTTTGATCAAAGAACAGGACAACAAGTGAAGTCGACAACAACAGATAAAGCGCGAGACACGGTAGAAATGAAACACCGTATATATCCAGTAACGCAGAAATGTGCAAATAACGCAGAAATTGTGCAAAAGTAACGCAGAATTGTGCAATTTAGTGGCTAAAACGAGCACCGCGACAATGTTATTTATTGTACACCAAATTGGAAGAAAAAATAGCGCATACGGTTGCTGAGACATTATACTTTAAACATCATCAAAAATATTTCCATGAGAATGTTTATTTTTCAAGATCATTCGCGAAAATGACGACCTGACTAGCGTATTGATGGCGATTTTTAGCTTCATTGATATCTTTAAATACAATCACATACATATTATTTTATGATTTTTTATATTCGGTGTACCTGAGACATTTTCCAATCTACTCGTGTCATATTACATTGAATTTAACAGATAATATACAAATATGGACTTTTTAGCTGTTGAATATGATGTGATATGTATTGAAAAAAATAATATTGACCGAGGCGATAGCCGAGGTCAATATTAATTTTTCAGTACATATCATATCATATTCAACAGCTAAAAAGTACATATCTGTTTTATTATATAATTTATAAATAGCTTTTATATGGTTTATCAAATCTGCCATTTTTCATCTTGTCTACCTTTTCCATAGTTTGGCCCTTTCTTTTTTAAATAAGCGCATTGACACGCTTATTTGTATTGTTGTTGGTCACTAAAATAGACTTATTTGACTCTTATATACGAGTCACTAAATGTTTATTCTGTTAAAGATTTCCAGAAAATCTATTTTCAGAAGAAAAAACGGTGAATATACTCTGAAAATCTATTTTTAGGGAAAAAAACAGTGAATAAACTCTGATATTGACCTGTTATTTTTTACAAAAAGTTGCTTGTTAGCCAATCAGGGAAAGGCATTTCAAAGCTATTTATAGATTATATAATAAAACGTAATTGAGACCATTTTACGAGGTAACGCCGAATTCGTGAATGAAGCACTGAAGCAACAGCGGTTATCTCATTAAAAAGTAACTAAATCTTATTTAACCAGCTTCCTTCTATTGTTATACGACTCTTGTAGTTTGACAAATGTCTTAGGTATACAAACTATGAAAAAATATAATAATGTTTTAAATGTGTTAAATGAACATATTTATTCTATGAAACACAAAAGTCACCTTCAAAATGGTAATCAGGTTGTCTTTCTCACGAATGATCTAAATTAAGAAGTAAACATATTCCTGACAAATTTATTAATGCTGGTTTAAGTATAATGTCGTAGCAGCCGTATGCGCTAATTCATTTCTTTGAATTTGATTTAAAATAAAATATTTTGGTTCGTTTACTTACTGTGTTATTTGTTTTGGCAATACCGTTACACAGATTCGGCGTTACTTTTCCGTTATTTGCACATTCTTGCGTTACTGGATATGCACGGTGTGAAATGTAATGAAGAAGTTCTATATTTTCTAACAAAGTCCGGATAAAGGGACTCTTGCCGACCTGTTATTGCTCTATCATGAACTTGAATTGAGTCTGACATAACCTTGTATCTGTGGACTGAGTGTTTTGGGCAATCTGTTGCGATTACTTGTGTTTTCCTGTGAATTGTTCCGTGTTTTCGTGTGGGAAACCCTGGTTTGGATCACTTAATTAGAGACAACATATTTGAATATTTGAAGTTAATAATGCTTAGTTTGGAATCATTAACTTAGACAAGAGATAGGTAGGTTTTTTAGACTGATTGGCCAAATAGACGATCCAATCCAAAATTTCGATCATTTTTAAGTTCATGGTAAGTAAAACGTTAAATTCGTAAGTAATAATAATTTGCATGTAAAAAAATTAATCAGTATACATAAACAAGTTTCATTTCTGTACAATGGTGTATCGCTGTTTCTTTGAACTAGTTCTGTACGTTGAAAGCATTTCTTTTCGTTACGGCACATTGGAATTATTGCAGCGTCTGCGCCTAAACCTGAGTTGAGTTCTGGTAAATTTTACTCTGTGTGTTTTACATTTAAACAATATTTAAAGAAAAACAACAACAAAATAACTGCTGAGTTTGAACCATTATCTGAAGTTATCTACAATTGTATTGTATGCAAATAGATGGGGTAAATTTGAAATGGTTAAGCATACCGAAAAGGTCTTGCTAAAAAGAAATATTTCGATTTTTGTCGAGTCCGCTTGCAGAAAGCTCTACATAATTTTTACAACGGCGGTTCTGTGTATGTACGGGCGTCCGTCCGTTTATGCTTGTCCGGGTCGTAACTCTGTCAATAGTCGGCAGAATTTCGAATCACTTGGCACA